CTTAAAAGGTACAGAGTGACAAGTTGGATAAAGAAGCAAAGCCCAACTGTATGTCGTTTTCAAGAGACCCAACTCATATGCAATGACACCCAAAGACTTAAAGGGATGGAGAAAAATCTACCAAGCAAATTGGGTGAAAAAAAAAAAAGTTTGCTATTCTAATTTCAGACAAGATAGACTTTATACCAAAAGGACAAAGGACCCTGATAATGATGAAAAGCTCAATACAACAAGGAGATTAAACTATCCTAAATATATATGCACCTAATACTAGAGCATCCAGATTCACAAAACAAGTTTTTAGACACCTACAAAGAGACTTAGATACCCACAGAATAATACTGAGAGGCTTCAACACCCCACTGACAGTGGTATCACACTACCCCACTTCAAAATATACTATAAGACTACATTACCAAAACAGCATACTATATAAACAGATACACAGACCAATGGAGCAGGTTAGAGAACCCAGAAATAAAGCCACACACCTACAACCACCTGATCATTGACTAAGTCAACAATAACTAGCAAAAGGGGAAAGGATTCCTATTTAATAAACAATGCTGGGATAACTGGCTGGTCATATGCAAAAGATTAAAACTGGACCCCTTCCTTTCGCCATATACAAAAATAAACTCAAGATGGATTAAAGACTTAAGTGTAAAACCTAAAATGATTTTTTTTTTAAAGAAAAAAACCCTAGGAAAAAACCTAGGAAATATCATTCTGGACATAGGTCCTGGCAAAGACTTCATGACAAAGACTCCAAAAGCAACTTCAACAGTAACAAAAATTATTATTATTTTTTTTTTTGAAGAACGAGAGAAAGAAAGAAAAAGAATAAAAAAAAAAAAAAAAAAGAAAAAGAATAAAGGAAAGGAAGAAAGAGGAAGAGGAAGAGGGAGACAGAACAGGGGTGTTGCTTTATTGCCCAGGCTAGAATGCAGTCTAAAACTGGGTATGCCTGTAATTGTGTTTAATAATAGAGACATAAAAAAAAAAAATGAGGGAAGAAAATAATTAACAAGCAGTCAACCAATATTTTATTTAAGCCTGTAAATACGTGTGATGTAGTACTGATAAGAGTGTATATTTTGTGTATTTAAAGTGGAGAGTTCTATGAATGTTAGTTAAGTCTACTTGTTCCAGATCTGAGTTCAAGTCCTGGATATCGATGTTAACATTCTGTCTCATTGATCTATCTAATATTGATGTTGAAGTCTCCCGCTATTATTGTGTGGGGGTCCAAGTCTCTTTGTAAGTCTTATATATCTGGGTATTTCTGTATTGGGTGCATATATGTTTAGGATCTTTAGCTCTTCTTGTTACATTGATCCTTTTATCTTTATGTAATATCCTTCTTTGCTTCTTTTGATCTTTGTTGCTTTGAAATCTATTTTATCAGCAAAAATTGCAACTCCTGCTTTCTATTTATTTATTTTAGCTCTCCATTTGGTTGGTAAATTTTTCACCATCCCTTTGTTTTGAGTCTTTATGTATCCTTGCATGTGAGATGGATCTGGATGTAGCATACCAATGGGTCTTGGCTTTTTTTGCCTGTCTGTGTCTTTGGATTGGGGGATTTAGTCGATTTAAATTTAGAATTAATAACAATATATGTGTGTTTGATACTGTCATTTAATGTTAGCTGGCTGTTTTGCCCATTAGTTGATGCAATTTCTTAATTATGTTGATGTTCTTTATTTTTTGATATTTTTTAGAAAGGCTGATGCTGGTTGTTCCTTTCTATTTGTAGTGGTTCTTTCAGAAGCTCTTGTAAAGCAGGCCTGGTGGTGATGAAATCTCTGAGTGCTTGCTTGTTCACAAAAGATTTTATTTTTCCTTCGCTTATGAAGCTTAGTTTGGCTGGATGTAAAATTCTGGGTTGAAAGTTTTTTTCTTTAAGGATGTTGAATATTGGCCCCCACTCTCTTCTGGCTTGTAGGGTTTCTACTGAGAGATCTGCTGTGAGTCTGATGGGCTTCCCTTTATGGGTAACCTGACCTTTCTCTCTGGCTGCCCTCAGTATTTTCTCTTTCATTTCAACCCTGGTGAATCTGGCGATTATGTGCCTTGAGGTTGGTCTTCTTGAGGAATATTTTTGTGGTGTTCTCTGTATTTCCTGGAGTTGAATATTGTCCTGCCTTGCTAGGTTGAGAAAGTTTTCCTGAAAAATATCCTGAAGCGTATTTTCCAGCTTGGATTGATTCTCTTCGTCACATTCAGGTACACCTATCAAACGTAGATTAGGTCTTTCCACATAGTCCCATATTTCTTGGAGACTTTGCTCGTTCTTTTTTATCCTTTTTTCTCTAATCTTGTCTTTTTGTTTTATTTCATGAAGTTGGTCTTCGACCTCTGATATCTTTTCTTCTGCTTGATCAATTCGGCTGTTAAAACTTGTGCATAGTTCGCGAAGTTCTCGTGTTGTATTTTTCAGCTCCATTAATTCACTTATATTCCTCTCTAAATTGTGTGTTATTGTTAACATTTCTTCAAACCTTTTTTCAAAGTTCTTGGTTTCTTTGCATTGGGTTAGAACAAGTTCTTTTAATTCCCAGAAGTTTCTTATCATCCACTTTTTAAAGCCAGCTTCTGCTAATGGAACACAGTCTTTCTCCATCAGGCCTTGTTCTGTTTCTGATGAGGAACTGTGATCCCCTGTAGAGGGAGAGGCATTCTGATTTGGGGTATTCTCAGCCTTTTTAGGCTGTTTTCTTCCCTTCTTTATAGATTTATCCATCTGTGGTCTTTATAATTACCGTCTTTATAGTTGGGTTTCTGAATGGACATCCAACTTGTTGATTCCAGGCGCTAGAGTCTGAGCAACCCACTGCTCCGGCCAAAGCAGCGGCTTTAAGATTGATGGTGCTTTTCTGACTCTGCACCAAGAACCGCCACACCAAGGCAGCGGCAAAACCGCCTCACCGGCCTCAAGAGTCATGCTGGCGACACGCGGGGCTCCTCCGCTGGGAATCTCCTGGTGTGTGAGCAACAAAAATTGATCTGAAAGTGTGGCGTCCTCTCGTTCTCTGCTCTTTCAGTGGGAGCTGCTAGTGATCAGCCATCTTGGATCTCATTATTCAAAATTATTGAGTGAAATTTAATTAAACTAAAGAGTTCTGAACAGCAGAAGAAACTATCAACAGAGTAAACAGACAACCCACAGAATGGGAAAAGTTATTTGCAAACTATGCATCTGACAAAGGTCGAATGTCCAGAATCTATAACAAACTTAATAAGCAAAATACAAGCAACCCTACTTTTAAAATGGGCAAAGGACAGATATTACTGAAAAGAAGACATACACATGGCCAACAAGCATATGAAAAAATGGTTAATATTATTAATCACTAGTGAAATGGAAATCAAAACTGCAATGATACATCATCTCACACCAGTCAGAATGGCTGTTACTATTAAAAAGTCAAAAAATAATAGATGTTGGTGAGGATATGGAGAAAAGGGAATGCTTACATAGTGCTGGTGTGAATGTAAATTAGTACAGCCACTGTGGAAAGCATTTTGAAGACTTTTGTCAAAGAACTTTAAATGGAACTACCATTCAACTCAGCAATCCCATTACTGGGTATGTTTAAAGACAGAAAGAATGGTATCGGTGGATTCAAGAAGTACCATAAGAAAGAAGTGATAGTGGGAATAAGATTCTTGAGGAGAATCAAAGTATAGAAAAACAGATGAAGAAGCCTTAGTGATTCTTATGCCCCGTCTAGTGAAGTGCCCTAAAACACAAAAAAGACAATTCTCACAAATAAAATTAGGCTTATCAGAGTAAGGAGCAAGGACGAAGGGAAAAAATGTTATTAATGTAGGGCTGAGAGTCAAGGCAGCAAATTGTTTTAAAACTTAACCTTATATTAATATAAACTTTAACATGTTACAAGATCATATATTTCTATAGTATGGTTGCAAGTAAGTAAAAAATGCATTAAAAATGAATAGTACATGCCAAATGTTAACAGATAGATTCTGAATTCAAAGACAAATTCCTATTACCCAACTTTCAAACAATAAATTACCTTTACTTAAAAAGACTAATTGGAATAATAAAGTCATTTTCTCCAAAAACTTCTAATCATGAATGCTAAAAACCACAAAACATCCTTTCCCTCTTCTTTTATACTCTAAACAGAACTTACAGACAGAGTGACAGAGTTCAGGACATGCTACCCCAAAATGTGGCATCTTGGCATGCTGAATATTTTAAGCTGTAGGAATTTGAGACACAACATGTACAAGAAGAATTTTTCTGGCCTTCCCCTGAAGCAAGTCATAACACCCTCATGTGAGAGGTGCCCTTCCTATACCTAAAGAATGGGGCATCTTTATCTCCATAGACACAGAGAGGAATTTGAATGAACAGGCTTTGCTAAATTTCCCCAAATGTATTACGCATAGTTTATATCCCCTTTGTCCTATTATATTTCTCCATCACAACTGGCATAAAAATATTCAGGTTTAACCATTTATTTGGCCCTTCATTTCCTTATAAAGGCTCCCATATTACATAAAACATATTAAACAAATTTGTATGCTTTTCTCTTAATATCTTTTGTTATAGGAGTTCCAGTCAATGAACATAAGATAAGTAGAAGGAAAAGACATTCTTCCTAACCTTACAGAAACCTAACCACCAGATTATCAATGGTTGCATATTTAAGAATATAAAAAAGCATATAAAAGCATACCAATAAAAGTATATCTATAATAGTTACAACAGGTTTAAAGCCACCCAAAGATTCAAGCATTTCATTCCTCTGCCAAAAGTCACAAGAATCAGTGAAGACAATTCTATGTGCCTTTATACTTTTACAAATAGGACTTGTTTAAATTTATCATGCCTTATAGCTAATAATGATGATACACTGTTGAGAACTCAGATCATGATTTACTTTTATCATTTAAATTTTAGTAAAACAAATTATTTAGTTTTAAGTAAATAATTGCTAAGTTTATTAACAATGATAGGAAATTACCAGTTGGTTTGAAATTAACACCTTCATCCATCTTTATTAAGTCCAGGGATGATAAATCATTCAGATTCTTCAAACATAATTCTGTTTAATTATAGAAAACACATTTTAATTTTAGTAAAATAGGGAAGTAGGGCAAAATAACTTATTAAATATGCTAAAGTTGTGTTATTACTGTGTAATTGTTATAGAATAACCATAGCCCCTACTTAAATAAACCATAGTCCCTAATTTAAATTAAAAAACTGATATGCTAAAAACATTTTCTAATAGTAACAATACATGTAATAAAAATAACATTCAGTAAGTAGAAATAACACTTAAAACTTGTAATATTTAAATATACACATGTATTAATTTAATTCTCAAAACATCACAATAAGGTAGACACTGATATTTTCATATACAGGTTAGGAAACTAACGAATAGGGGCTAAGTAACTTGCTGCAAGTCTAAGTAACCACTTTGTTATCTGCCTTCCATTAAGGCAGTGGTTTTCTTTTGTCTTTAAACTTTGATCAAAGACATATTAATATGTGCACAAAGTATAAGAAGTCAAATAGTGCTGCAAAGATTATTCCAAAAATCACCAGTTCTTCCCCCCTTCCCTGTTGGCTACTTTCTTGAAGCAACAACTTCAAACTGTTTTAAATGATGCTTTTAGGTGTTTACTTTTGTTTCTCTGACAGGAAGCAATGCTAGTTCACGCTCACCATTGATGGGGATCAGAGCAATTGTAGTAATCTGCTGCTTACAGTTCCTTCCCTGCCTCATGCTCTAGTCCAGGAGATATAAGACAGTCCAGAGCAGACAGTGGGAATACTGTAATAGTTCAATCCTAAATCAAGCAGCCACTCACAAAAATGCCCTTAGAGTTCTTTGGAAAATACTTTAGTGTAAACAACACTGTTCAGACAGCTTGTAAGTGTTAAGTGTTTGATTAAGTAAAGATTTTGAAGTCTTTTCTAATTTTCTTAATTATCCACTATTAAATCAGTCCATTACCCATGACTCGGTAAGTCAATGAAAAATGCTTACTTTATTATATGCTGAGAATGATTCTAAGCTCTATGTTTACAGCAGTTAACAAGATAAGGTTCTTCTTTTTTAGAACTTATATTTTACAGAAGAAAGCAATCAACATACAAATAAATAATAAAGTTTTACCTATACCATAAAGAAACATAAGGCTGAGAAAGAACCTATATAGAATGATTGTGTAGAGTTTTAAAATCTTTTAACTAAAGCTTCTTTCTTTCTTTCTTTCTTTCTTTCTTTCTTTTTTATTTTGACAGGGTCTCACTCTTGTCACCCAGGCTAAAATACAGTGGCATGATCACAGCTCACTGTAGCCTCAACCTCCCAGGCCCAAGCAATCTTCCCACCTCAGTCTCCAGAGTAGCTGAACTACAGGCATGTACCACCACACTCAGTTAATTTAAAAAAAAAAAAAAAAAAAACCTTTTTGTGGAGGTGGGATCTCCCTATGCTGTCCAGGCTGGTCTCAAACTCCTGAGCTCAAGGGATCTGCCCACCTTGGCCTCCCAAAGGGATTACAGGCATGAACCACCATGCATAACCTGTATGTATTTCTCATAAATGCGATATATTTTCTAATATAGAGTAAAGCTATCACCCTAATTGTCAAAATAAACACATTACCTTTTCTAAAAACAAAGAAAACAACAATAATAACATCATAGAATAATTTTGTTTTACTCTCAGTAAAGGTGGATATAAATAAGATGCTACAGGAAGACCCCTCTAAAAAGTTAATATTTGAACAGAGACCTGAATAAAATGAAGGTGCACACCACGTAAAATATGCAAGGAGTGTTCCAAAAATAAGGAACAAAGTGTACAAAGGACCTGATGTGGAAACAAGTTTGGTGTATTTAAGGCATAGCAAGAGGCCAATTTTGTGAGAGTAGAATCAAAGAGAGAGACTGAGAGGACCTTAGAAACAAGAAGGTTACTCTGACCTTTCCCTGCGTGAAGCATGGTCATAAAGGAATTCTCTGACCTACCTTGTCTAAAAGTCTAAGATCCTAGTTCCAGGGTGTGGAATGGCCCTGTCTCATACCCAGAAAGAAAGAATGCTACACAGAGAGGCCAATAAGAATCTGAACAAATAGGTCTTGATAAGTTCCTCCCAGTTTATTAACATTAGATAATATCCTTTTTGTCCAATCATGTTTCCTGACAACTACCCATTTTTTTTCATCAAACTTGCCATAGAAATACAGTTATCCCTGGGTCTTTGGGTCTTAATTTCTGAAGGCTCCCATATCATATACAACTTTGATTATATAAATTTGTAATGCTTTTCTTTTGTTATCTGTCTTGTTACAAGAGTGTCAGCTGTGAACCTTGCAATGAATGAGAAAAAGACGTTACTTTTTTCTCTCCTACAATACCAAAACCTTAATATTCAGTTATATTTAGCTATTCTTGTTTAAAAGGCAAAACTCTGCTAACCCTATAATGACTGAAGATAAGGCAAATATGAACTGTGATTCTGCTAATTTAATAAAAGATAAAACATTAAAGTTATTCAAATATAGCAATATATCTCTTGAAATGTCTAATTGCTTGAGTGTATTTGATCACTATTTTCAAAATATATTTCATTTAAAAAATTCCATTACATTCTGGGGCTAAATAAGGGGGAAAAAAAATTCCATTACAAAATTAACCAATACCTTTAAAATAACACAATTATTTTATAACCTGTATTTCAACATGAATACAGCAGCATTATGAATATATGCTATTGGTTATTACGTGTTTTTTTGTTTTTGAGATAGAGTCTTCCTCTGTCACCCAGGCTGGAGTGCAGTGGCGTGATCGTGGCTCACTGCAACCTCTGCCTCCCAGGTTCAATCAATTCTCCTGCCTCAGCTTCCTGAGTAGCTGGGACTACAGGCGTCTGCTGCCATGCCCAGCTAATTTTTGTATTTTTAGTAGAGACGAGGTTTCACCATATTGGTAAGGCCAGTCTTGAACTCCTGACCTTGTGATCCACCCACCTCAGCCTCCAAAAGTGCTAGAATTACAGGTGTGAGCCACTGCACCTGGCCATGACCATGTTTTAACAACATATTTATTCTTTAAGCAAGACAATTTTACTGTTTCATCTTTATCTCCACATTTTTATTTGCCACACATGTATATCCAAGTAGAGAATAAATTTAAATTGGCTAAATATTTTTAGTGGGTCTAACATTTTTTCTTTTACTAAAGAGAGAGTCTCAACACAATGAAAAGGTAGCAATTTCTAATCCAAATAAATGCCTAACAATATTTTGATATTTTTAAAAACAAGTAAAAAACACCAGGTGATTAACTGAATAACAAAGCTGAGATTAAGTAGGAATATATCTTTGGCACAGGTTGGAATACGAAGCCCATAATCAATCTAGGCTTATATTTTAAGTAGAAAAGAAAAAATACATGTTGGGCATGGTCGCTCACACCTATAATCTCAGTGCTTTCGGAGGCAGACATGGGAGGATCACTTGAGACCAGGCTGGGAAACACAGTGAGATCTGCTTTCTACAAAAAATACAAAATTAGCGAGTTGTGGTGGCTCATGCCTACAGTCCCAGCTACTCAGGAGGCTGTGGCAGGAGGATCATTTGAGCTCAGGAGTTCAAGGTTACAGTGAGCTATGATCATGCCACTACATTCCATCTTGGGTGACAGAGTAAGGTTGTTTCTTAAAAAAAAGAAAAAAAAAATAGACTGTGTATCTGTAGGCACATTTTCAAAGACCAGGGTCATGTTAGAAATAAAAACCAAATAAACTAAGTTAACATTTTATACAAAAAAAGATATTCTGATAGAATTAATAAATTCATTAATTCAGCAAAAAAGTACGTATGCCAAGCTTTATTAACGTGTAAAAAAGAAATAGTTCTCATTATTTTTCTGCATACAAGTTTTCGTCTTAAAAAATGATTTATAAAAGCATATTCTTACTTTCACAATAACTGAACTTTTTCACTAAAATATATACAATCTAATTATTAGAATGAAATGCAACTAACCTTGTAATTTTGCTTCAATTCCATCTTTATTCAATCCAGATGCAAAACCTGCATGTCATGAAAATTTACAAAGAGTAAAACAGAATGAATTTAATTCATCTTTACAGGCTCAGTTTATACCCCTGTTAACTAGAGAAGTCTAATTAAACCTTACATAAGAAAATAAAAACCTCAGCTTAGTGAGTTCAAACAAGGCTTAAATATCCATAAAAATAGCAAACAGGAATATCATATTTTAACAACAATGGTATGGAATAAATTCCCAAATGTTTTACATATAGCAAGTATCTGTCAAGTGATTAACATTTTCTAATGAACTTTCATTATAACATGAACTTCCAATGAAAACATGTTTGGTAATACAATCATTTTGCGCTACTCACTAAAGTTGAAACTAAACATACCTTTAACACAATAATTTCACTCCTAGGCACATACCCACAGATATATGTATACATGTGTATCCAAAAACATATATAACAATGCTAACAGCAAGATTATTTAAAATTAATAATTTCATCAAAAGATTTAAATTAATCTAATGAAATATTTTCCATTTATATGACATTAAAGAATAGATAAAGCTAGCCTATGGTATGTAAGTCAGAACAGCATTTACTTCTGGGGGCAAATACTGACAGAGAAGGAGGATAAGGGAACATCTAGAAAATGTTCTATATCTTAATCTGGGCTGTTGTTACATGTGTGTATACACACATATACTTAACTTCCTTGACCTGTATACCTCATATTTGTGCAGTTTACTATAAGTGATCTCTCAATACAAAAAAGTAACTACAGAAAATAAAGTAACTATGAAAAGGAAGAAATGAAAATTAAAACATGAGAAGATATCAATATTCATATATAATATTGATAAAAATACACAAGTATACACCCTGAAGGAAAGGCTGGAGAAACAAAATATGCATTTTTGAACACTGCTGGTGGGTATATAAACTACTAAAGTAGGAATTTAGCAACAGGTATCAAATTTATAAATGCATATATCCTTTGACACAGGAATTTCATTTCTAGAGATTTATCATACAGATAAGATTCATACATGTAAAAAATGCCGGGATTTTTTGCTGCATTGTTTGTAATAGCAAACAACCAGAAAAACTATAAATGTCTATCAATTGGGGATCATTTAAATGGGCAATACATAAGTAAGTGGAGTATTATTTAGCTATTAAAAAAAGCTTCCAGCCAGGCATGGTGGCTCACAGATACAATCCCAGCACTTTGGGAGGGTAAGCCGGGAGGATCATTTGAGCCCAGGAGTTTCAGACCAGCCTGGGTAGCACAGGGAGACCCTGCCTCTATATTTTTTTTTTCCAAAAGTTGGCCAAGTATGCTGGCATGTGCCTGTAGTACCAGCTATTCAGGAGGCTGCAGTGAGAAGATCACTTGAGCCCAGAAGGTTGAAGGTGCAGTAAGCTGTGATCACACCATTGTACTTCAGCCAGGGCAACAGAGCAACAGCCTGTCTCAAAAAAGCTTCCAAGACATACTAAGAAAAAATGAATATGCAGAAGACTAAAATAATGGAGGTTTAAAAAAATATGCCCACAAGGCCAGATGCAGTGGCTCATGTGTGTAATCCTAGCACTTTGGGAGGCCGAGGCAGGTGGATCACTTGAGATCAGGAGTTTGAAACCAGCCTGGTCAACATGGCAAAGCCCCATATCTGCTAACAATACAAAAAATTAGCCAGGTGTGGCGGCACATGCCTGTATTCCCAGCTACTCAGAAGGGTAAGGCAGAGAACTGCTTGAACCTGAGAGGCGGATGTCACAGTGTGCCGAGATTGTGCCACTGCACTCCAGCCTGGGCTACAAAGCGAGACTGTCTCAAAAAAAATTTTTTTTCCACAAATTATTTGATACTCTGCCCTCTAAGAGATAAAATTAATCCCTCTCGCCTTCATATGACCAGAACTCAGTTGAGTTGCTTCTAAAAAACAGAATACAGCAGAAGTAATGATGTGTGACTTCAGAGACAAAGTTATAAGAAGGTACTGCTGCTTCTACTTTAGTCTGTCTCTGTCCCTGTCTCTCTGTCTCTCCCTTTCTTCCTCTCTCGGGTCATTCACCCTGAGGAAGGTCAGCTGCTATGCTATGAGGAAAGATCCACCTGGCAAAAGACTGAGGACTGCCAACAGCTGCGAAACTGAGGCCTCTAACCTATTGCTCTGCGAGTGAGACAACTTAGAAGTGAACCTTCAAGCCCCAGGAAAGGCTTCAGATAACTGCAGCCCTAGCTGACATCTTGTTGCAATCTGAAGACAGCCTCTGACCCAGAGCCACTAAGACACTCCCAGATTCCTCACCCACATAAGCTGTGTGAGATAATAAATTCTGGTTGTTTCTAGATGACTTGTTTTGGGGTAATTTGTTACAAAGCAATAGAAAACTAATGCAGTATGCCACCAGTTGTGTTTAAAAGGTGGGAAAATAAAATTACATTTTCTTAATTACTTTTATATGCAAAAAAAATATTATGCAAAAAAAGGGTACACTAACGATTACAGAGCTAGGGGAGGGAAAGGGGAGATATGGGAATTGAACAACTGTGTGGGTGGGAATACGCATGGAAGACTTTTACCTGTATGTATTCCTTTACTTTATGATTTATGACCTAAGTAAATCTATTACCTAGTTGAAATATAAATCTTTAAGTGATATGAATATTTATACAGATATTCTTTTAATATAGGCTTATATTAATTACTCTTTGAGATCTGAAAGTTTTGAACCTCATGCATTAGAATGATACTGTAATGAGTTAGGCTTTAATTTGGTACTCAACAACCCCAGGTATAGGCTATTTTATAACCTATACCACATGAAAAAACCTTCTGGTAGCCACATAACCAGATGGGGGTTAGCTTTGGAAGCAAGATGAAAATTGCAGCAGCAAAAATAGTACTATATACTTTCATTTCTTATAAATTAAAAACTAAACAGTCATAAACTCAGAATAAGTGAGTAGTTGAACACCAAATACAGACAAAATTCAAAACTTTTTTATAATTTTAACTTATTTTCAATGATTTATTCATTTCTGTTATTTTTATCAGAGCTGAATTTTTTTCTACTAGGTTTATTTTTAATGGTGCTGATTTCAAACCTTATTGAAACACTAAAAGCAAAACAGATAAAAATTTCTCAGTTTGCCTACTATTGTCTCTAAATGTATTTGGGACTGTTGTTACCTTTTATTTTTATTTTCTATTAGTTTCTTTAATCTTATCTATTCTGTAACTTATTAATATAAATACAGGCCTAGCTGGCTTGAAAAAATTACTACTTTTCCAAGTCAAAGTAACAAACCATAATGAGATGGATTTTTCAAGGCTCTGATATAAAGCAAAGTTGATCGTATCCATTCCAAAGCAATATTCACATCCGTGATGGTATGCAGTACTATTTCTGCATTTAAATGCTCAATAAGATGTCTGTGCAAACTAATGAAAAAAAATTTTGCATTACAAATATGCATTTCAATGCCATAACTCTTACTTTTCAAAGTTAATAATATATAATATACCCATTGCTACTTTACTAATTCATGAAATATAACTTAATTTCCAAAAACATAAAAGAAAACCTTAAAAAGTCAGTTCAACTTTTAAAAATGCTTCAGATATATCTCTCTACTCTATGGCTATAGAAGGCAGACTATTGCTTTAATAAAAGTTAAAGCGTAAATTATATACTACTTTCTCCAAAAGAGAATACATTAAATACCTTACTAATAGGTCCCGGATTGCCTCTGTTATTAAACTAAAATAAGATGTGAAAATGACATTTCTCCTCTATTACAAATTAGTAATTATATTTATGTAATTTCATATATGTTATAATAATTACTAAGGCTTTATTACAAATTAGGGTTATAAACAAGAATACATGCTTGCCAAGAAATACCACTGAATAAAACTACTACCTTTTTAAAAAATATATAAACTTTCTAGTTAAATTGTTGAAAACTTTCCAGAATATGGCCTTAAAAGAAATCTCCAAGCCAAATTTTCTTTTGATATTTTAAAAGGAAATAAAATAAGCTATATTAGCATCTTTTTGGAACATTTTCTGTATTACCTGCTTTCTACAGTGTCTCTACAAGCTAACATCTGAATGTACTTGTCTCTTGTACTTAATCGAGTCATGATAACTGCAGTGGCTGTAGTGTCAAACTGGGGAAAAAATAAACAGAGAAATTTAGTGAAGAAGAGCACATCTTGGTACCAGTCCTCTGCAATAACTCAAGACTTTCATTTTATACTAAATAGTCTCTCACTAATATTACTTTCAGCCTAATATAATTATGACATGCTAATCAAAAAATACCAAAAATGGCTTTTTGTTTTTATCATGTTTTTAAGTATAAAAAGCAAAGTTATCGTCACTTACTTGAGGTCGACCAGCTCTACCAATCATCTGTAGAATATCTGTTTCACTGTACTCTTGAAACAGTCCTCCAGCATAATGCATTGTAGATTTTATAACTACTAGGTGAGCAGGCAAATTTACTCCCATAGCTAAAGTACTGGTAGTAACTGCATCAGATTAAGACATAGTAATTTCAATCCATATAACTTTATTGTTTCAGGAAGACTTTTTTTTTTATAAAAGACATTCTTATAAATGTAATAAAAACTCATATATAAGAAATTTAGAAAAGAAAAAAGAACATTACAAGCTAAAATAGTAACACACCTTAAATCCAAAAACCTATTATTGTTTTTCAAATTACACTATGTTCAATAATATGATAAACAACTAAATACTGCCAGAGAATTTACTGTAGCATCTACATGCATAGGTAACCACTTAATTTTAGATTATCAGAAGAAAAGCAGAAACAAGCAGTATACTTGAGATTTTTCTTTTTTTCCTCTTAGAAATAATTTTCCAAAATATTTTATAGTATCCACAAAAAATATGTTTTACTTACAAAGAACTGGTAAATCTCCAACACTAAAAGCTCCCTCAACTACTTTTCTATCTGACAGCTCCATACCAGCATGATGATAAGCAGCACCATCTTTTAAGATATCTGTAGCAGAAAAGTATCACCTGTTACTATTAATATTTTATCAATAATTGTCACCTTTTATCTATATGTGAAAATGCTATTCAAAAATTATCTCTAAACCTACCTCTCAGTTTTGAATCTCTTACGGAATATGCATACTTCTGTAACCTATTTAAAAATACGATAAAATTATTGGGTTACTCCTAGTAACATTAGAGAACTCTGAAATGTTTTTATTAATTATTTTAAAACTTAAGAGATACCAAAAAATTTTCTCAATATCAATATCTGAAAACTAACTTTGTGAAGTAGAAAATATTTAAGTTTCATATGCAAAAGTCCCTAAACTTATCAGCTGTAATATTAAAGCTCACTTTTAAATGAAGAATTTGGAAAACTCACTTTCCACAAGAAAAAAACATAATTGGTGATTTGAGTCAGATATAAGTCTACTCTCATAATTTCCCTGAAAAATTCTGTAGAAAGTAACAATTTCTAAAACTACTATATCACTAGTAAGTAAGCCAAACAAAACAAAACAAACATGGTAATAAACAATAGTTGTTTGCAGTGCTGTTGAGACATGGCATTTAAGAAAACTAGGTTGGGAGGAAGCAAGATGATCGACTAGAGATGCCTAATGCTCACCCTCCCCGCAAAAAAGGAGCAAAACAATGAATAAACAACTAACAACATTTTGACCACACTGACTAAAGGAAAGTGCCTCTCTATAAATTTGAAACAGATTATTATTCTACCAGTTGTGCAGACATCAATACAGAGACACAGGAAACATAAAAAAAAAAAAAAAAAAAAACGCACACGCACACACAAGAAACACAACACCCCCAAAGGAACACAATAATCTTCCAGTAACTGATTCCAAAAAAGCCAGAAATTTGTAAATTGCCTAAAAAGGAATTCAAAGTAATGATCCTAAGGAAACTCAATGAGATACAAGAGAATACAAATATACAGCCCAATGAAATCAGGCCAAGTGGGTTTATTCCTGGCAAGCAAGGCTGGTTTAATACATGCACATCAACCACTGTGAAATATCACATCATAAATGAAAGATAAAAAAAGGCAAGATCATCTCAATTGGTGCAGAAAAAGTATTTAACAAGTCCAACATCCTTTCTTGATAAAATCTTTTAACATGCAGGCATATAAGGAAAACTTCTCAACTAACGTAACAAAGGCCATTTATGAAAAACCCATAGCCAACATCATAATCAATGGGGAACAACTGAAAGCTTTTCCACTATGATACAGCACAAGGCAAGAATGCCCACTTTCACCACTTCTACTCAACATAATACTAGAAGTGCTAGTAAGACCAATCGGATAAGAAAAAAAAAAAAGGAATTCAAATTCGAAAGGAAGTAGTAAAATTATCTTTATTTGCAGAAAACATTATCTTCCATGTAAAAAAAACTCAAAGACTCATTAAAAAAAACTGTTAGAACTAATAATTCAGTAAAGTTGGAGGATTCAAAATCAACATACAGAGATTAGTAGCATTTTTAAATACAAATAATCTAGCTGAAAAAGAAATCTAGAAAACAATCCCATTTATAATAACATTAAAAAATAAAATGATTGGGACTAAGTTTAATTAAGGAGGTAAAGTACACTGAAAGCTATAAAACAATGGTGACAGAAATTGAAGACAAAAATAAATGGAAAGATACCCTGTGCTAATGGATTGAAAGAATTAATATTGTTAACATGTCCATACTACCCAAAGCGGTAGAGATTCAATAAAATCCCTATCAAAATTCCAATGGCACCCTTCGCAGAAAGAAAAAAAAATTGTAAAATTAGTATGGACTTACAATAGGAACAGCAAAACTGAGAAGGAAAAGGAAGTTGGAGGTACACTTTCTGATTTAAAATTATACTACAGGCCGAGCATGGTGGCTTACACCTGTAATCTTAGCACTTTGGGAGGCTGAGGTGGGCAGATTATGAAGTCAGGAGACCAAGACCATCCTGGCTAACATGGTGAAATCCCACCTCTACTAAAAATACCAAAAATTAGCCAAACATGGTGACACATGCCTGTATTCCCAGCTACCCGGGAGGCTGACACAGGAGAATCGCTTGAACCTGGGAGGCAGAGGTTGCAGTGAGCTGAGATTGTGCCACTGCACACAGCCTAGGTGACAGCACAAGACTCCACCTCAAAAAAAAAAATTATACTACAAAGCTGGACTGACCAAAACAATATAGCACTTGCATAATAATAGAAACATAGACAAATGGAACAGAACAGAGAGCCCAGAAATAAGTCCAAACATATACAGTCAACTAGTTTTCCATCAGGGCACCAAGAAAAATGAGAAAACAATAGTTTCTTCCATAAATGAGGCTGGAAAAATAATTTCCATATGCAAAAGAATAAAACTGTACCCTTATCTTATACCATACACAAAAATCAACTCAAAAATCGACAAAAGATCTAAATGTAAGACCTGAAATCACAAAACTCCTAGAAGAGAACATAGGGGCAAAGCACCTTGATATTGGCCTTGGCGATGAAATTTTGGGACGTCATACCAAAAGCAAATATAAATAAATGGGAATACATCAAAGTTAAAAGCTTCTGCAATGCAAAGGAGGCAATCATCAAAATAAAAGGACAATCTATGGACTAGAAAAAAAATTTGGAAACCATATATCTGATAAGGGGTTAATATCCAAAATTTATAAAGAACTCTTACAAATTAATAGCATTAAAAAGCCAATTTAAAAGTCAGCAAATGATCTGAAAGAACATTTCTCCAAAGAAAACATAAAAATTGATCCATCCAAGATAGCCTATTAAAAGTAGCTGCAGCCTACAACACTCACAGAGAGGAATGAAAAGGGGTGAGAGAATTCAGCACCTTTAACTGAAATATCCAGATTCTCATATCGGGACTGACTAGGCAAACACAACTCATGGATAATGAAGAAAAGTGTTGGGGGTAGGGGGCATTATGGCCCACCCGGGGGTGGCATGGAGCCAAAGGAACCACCACCCTCAGCCCAGGGAACCAATGAGTGATGGTGCAACCCCACTCAAGAAACCACGCTTCTCCCACAGATCTTTACAGCCCATGGATAAGGAGATCCCCTAGTGTGCCCATGCCACCAGGGTCTTGGGTCTGATACACAGAGCTATGTGGAGTCTTGAGAGAGCAGACATTCAGGCACACACGGAGATCCAGGAATTTTACATGGTCTGGACCCAGGATCCCTAGTAAAGACAAGAAATCCATTTGTACATATCTCTAGGCAGGCAGGGGGCTGAATCCAGGAAACCAAGAAACATCATTCTGTGAGCACCACTTCCATGGCACCTTGCAAGTTAAGATCTACTGGCTTGGAATCCCAGCCAGCCAATGGCAATGGATTGGAGTCCACCAGAGATGGGTCTGAGTTCCTGTGAGCAGGAGGAGCCGCCATCTCTGTGCTTCGGTTGATTCAGCTGCTCCAGCCTGTCAGCTTTGGAGAAGACAGGTAGTCCAGACAAGGAAGGGTCCCCCACAATGCAGCACACCTGCTCTACCAAAAAGCAGTCAGACTGCTTCTTTGGGCAGGTCCCTGATCCCATTCCACTGACTGGGTGAGACATCCCAACTGGAGTTTCCAGCCACCTCCTACAGGTACAGATGGACTGGCAACAGGTCAGTACTCCCCTGCAATGGAGCTTCTAGAGGAAGTAGCTGGCCGTCATCTTGGCTGTTTCACAGCCTTCACTGGTGATACTACCAGGGAAAGGAGAAACTGAGGCAACTAGGGTTTGGAGCAGACCTCCAGCAAACTGCAGCAGTCCTACAGGCCTGTTAAAAGCAAAACAAACAAACAGAAAACAAGAACATCAACAAAAAAGGCCCCCAGAAAAACCTCATTCAAAGGTCAGCAACCTCAAAGATCAAAGGCTGAAAACTCCAAAAGTCATAGTGTCTCTTCTCCAATTGACTGCAACACCTCTCCAGCAAGAGCACAGAACTAGGCTGAGACTGAGATGGCTGAATTGGCAGAAGTAGGCTACAGAAGGTAGGTAATAACAAACTTCACTGAGCTAAAGGAGTATGTTACAACCCAATGCAAAAATGGTAAGAATCATGATAAAACAATACAGGAGCTGATAGCCAGAACAGCCAGTTTGGAGAGAAACATAACTGATCTGATGGAGATGAGAAACACAACATGAGAACTTCACAATGCAATAACAAGTATCAATAGCAGAACAGACCAAGTAAAGGAAATAATCTCTGGGCTAGAAGATTATCTTTCTGAAAAAGAATGAACAAAACCTCCAAGAAATATGGGATTAAGTAAAGAGACCAAACTTACGACTGATTGGTATCTGAAAGAAAGGGAGAGAATGAAACCACATTGGAAAACATACTTCAAGAGAACTTCCAGGAGAACTTCCCCAATCTAGCAAGACAGACCAACATGCAAATTCAGGAAATCCAGAGAACCCAACTAATATACTCCACACAAAGATAAACCCCAAGACACATAATTGTCAGATTCTCCAATGTTAAAATGAAAGAAAAATGTTAAGGGCAGCCAGAGAAAGTCAGGTCACCTACAAAGGGAAACTCATCAGACTAACAGCAAACCTCTCAGCATAAAATCTACAAGCCAGCAGAGATTGGGGGCCAATATTCAACATTCTTAAAGAAAAGAATTTCCAACCCAGAATTTCATATCTGGCCAAACTAAGCTTCACAAGTAAAGGAGAAATAGGGTTCTTTTCAGAGAAGCAAATGCTGAGGGAATTTGTCACCAACAGGCCTGCCTTCTGAGAGTTCCTGAAGGAAGCACTAAATATGGAAAGAAAAGCCATTACCAGCCACTACAAAAACACATTGAAGTACACAGACCAATAATACTGTGAAGCAACCACATGAACAAATCTGCAAGATAACCAGCTAGTATCATGATGACAGGATCAAATTCACACATAACAATACTAATTGTAACTCAAATTGTAAATGGGCTAAATGTCCCAATTAAAAGGCACAGGATGGCAAGCTAGATAAAGAGCCAAGAACCACTGGTATTCTGTCTTCAAGAGCTCCATCTCACATGCAAAGACACACACAGACTCAAAATAAAGGGATGAAGGAAAACTTACCAAGCAAATGGAAAACAGAAAAAAGCAGGGGTTGCAATCCCAGTGTACGACAAAATAGACTTTAAACCAACAAAGACCAACAAAGATCAAAAAAGACAAAGCAGGGCTTTACATAATGGTAAAAAGTTCAATTCAACCAGAAGAGCTAACTATCCTAAATATATATGCACCCAATACAGGGGCACCCAGATTCATAAGGCAAGTTATTAGTGATCTACAAAGAGACTCAGACTCCAACACAATAAAAATGGAGACTTTAACAGCCTATTGACACTATTAGACAGATCACTGAGACAGAAAATTAACAAAGATATTCAGGACTTGAACTCAGCTCTAGATCAAGTGTACCTGATAGCTACAGAACTCTCCAGTGAAATTCAACAGAATATACATTATTCTCATAGTTACATGGCACCTACCCTAAAACTGATCACGTAATTGGAAGTAAAACATTTCTCAGGAAATGCAAAAGAATGGAAATCATAACAAACAGTCTCTGAGACTACAGTGCAATCAAATTAGAGCTCAAGATTAAGAAATACACTCAAAACTACACAACTACATGAAAACTGAACAACCTGCTCCTGAATGACTCTTGGATAAATAATGAAATTAAGGCAGATATCAAGAAGTTCTTTGAAACTAATAAAAACAAAGAGACAATGTACCAGAATCTCTGGAACACAGTTAAAGCAGCATTAAGAGAGAAATTTATAGCACTAAATGCCCCCATCAAAAAGCCAGGAAGATCTCAAGTTAACAACCTAACATCTCAACTAAAAGAACTAGAGAACCAAGAGCAAAGAAACCCAAAGCTAGCAGAAGACAAGAAATAACAAAGATCAGAGCTGAACTGAAGTAGATAGAGGCATGAAAACCCCTTCAAAAAAATCACCAAACCCAGGAGCTAGTTTTTTGAAAAAATTAATATACTAGATAAAGCATTAGCTCGACTAATAAAGAAGAAAGGAGAGAAGGATCAAATAAACACAATCAGAAATGATACAAGGGATACCACCACTGGCCCCACAGAAATACAAATGACCATCAGAGAACACCATAAAGACCTCTACCCACATAAACTAGAAAATCTAGAAGAAATGAATAAAATCTTGGACACATACACCCTCCCAAGACTGAACCAGGAAAAAACTGAATCCCTGAATAGACCAATAATGAGTTCTGGAATTGAGCCAGTAATAACTAGCTTACCAACCAAAAAAAAAGCCCAGGACCAGACAAATCCACAGTTGAATTTTACCAGAGGTACAAAGAAGAGTTGGCACCATTTCTACTCAAACTATTCCCAAAAAATTGAAAAAGGGACTCCTCCCTAACTCATTTATGAGGCCAGCATCATCCTGATACTAAAACCTGGAAGAGATACAACAAAAAAAGAAAACTTCAGGTCAATATCCTTGATGAACATTGATGTAGAAAGCCTCAAAAAATACTGGCAAACTGAATCCAGTGGCACATCAAAAACTTTACCCACCATGATCAAGTTGGCTTCATCCCCAGGATGCAAGGTTGGTTCAACACATACAAATCAATAAATGTGATTCATCACATAAACAGAATTAAAGACATTATTATCTCAATAGATGCAGAAAAGACCTTTGGTAAAATTCAACACTCCTTCATGTTAAAAATTCTCAACAAACCAGGTACTGAAGGAGCATACCTCAAAATAATAAGAGCCATATATGACAAATCCATAGCCAATATCATATTGAATGGGCAAAAACTGGAATCATTCCCCTTGAAAACTGGCACAAGACAAGGATGCCTTCCTCCACCACTCCTATTCAACATAGTATTGGAAGTTCTGGCAAGGGCAATCAGGCAAGAGAAAGAAATAAATGGTATTTAAATAAGAAGAGAGGAAGTCAAATTATCTTTGTTTGCAGATGACATGATCCTATATTTAGAAAATCTCATCATCTCAGCCCAAAAGCTTCTTAAGCTATTAAGCAATTTCAGCAAAGTCTCAGGATACAAAATCAATGTATAAAAATCTCTAGCATTCCTATACAACAGGCAAGCAGAGAGCCAAACAGTGAATGAATTCGCCTTCACAATTGCTGCAAAAAGAATAAAATACCTATGATACAGCTACTGAGGGAAGTAAAGAACCTTTTCAAGGGGAACTACAAACCACTGCTCAAAGAACTCAAAGAGGATACAAACAAATAGAGAAACATTCCATGCTCCTGGAGAGGAAGAATCAATATTGTGAAAATGGCCATACTACCCAAAGTAATTTATAGATTCAATGCTATTCCCACTAAACTACCTCCACAGAATAAGAAAAAAAAAACTATTTTAAAATTAATATGGAACCAAAAAAAAGCACGAATAGCCGAGAAGATCCTAAGCAAAAAAAACAAAGCTGGAGGTCACACTACCCAACTTCAAGCTATACTACAAGCCTACAGTAACCAAAAAAGCATGAGACTGTTATAAGAACAGACACATAGACCAAAGGAACAGAATAGAGAACTCAGAAATAAGACCATACACCTACAAACATGGATCTTCAACAAATCTGACTAAAGCAAGCAACTGGGAAAGGATACCCTATTTAATAAATGGTGCTAGGAGAGCTGGGTAGCCACATGCAGAAAATTGAAACTGGATCCCCTTCCTTACATCCTACATAAAAATTAACGCAACATGGATTCCAGACTTAAATGTAAAACCCAAAACTATAAAAATCCTAGAAGAAAATGTAGACAATGTCATTCAGGACACAGGCATGGGCAATTATTTAATGATGAAAATATCAAAAGCAATTGCAACAAAAGCAAAAATTGACAAATGGCATCTAACTAAAATAAAGAGCTTCTGCATAGCAAAAGAAACTATCATTAGAGTAAACAGATCACCTACAGGAGAAAATTTCTCCAATCTATCCATTTGATAAAGGTCTAATATCCAGAGTCTACAAGGTACTTAAACAAATTTACAAGAAAAAAAACAATTCCATTAAAAAGTGGGCAATGGACATGAACAGACACTTCTCAAAAGATGACATACATGCAGCCAACAAACATTATGAAAAAAAGCTCAACATCACTGATCATTAAAGAAACGTAAATCAAACCCAGCCTCAGAAATGTCTTTATATTAATGCAAGAATGACCTAACACACCTGCTAAGATTGAGTGGTAAGCAGGATGAACCTAAGTCCCCCTTTCCTCAAGAAGTTGATAATCTAACGAATGGAACAGATACTAAAATAACTATTAAACAAAATGATATTATAATTATAGTAAGTGTTATGAAATAAAGTACAGGTTGCTTATAAAAGTAAATACAGGGAAACTGATGACTATGGAAAACTGATATTAAAGTTTAGACATGAAGAATGAATAGGAGTTAGGTAAAAATCATTCCAGGAAAAGAAAGCACGATGCAAGCCAGCTCTGTACAGAGTGGCAAACTGGTGTATTCACAGAACACAGAGGCCAATACAGCTTGACCATGGTGAATAAATGGGGAGAATGGTCATAATAAGTCTGGTGAACTGGCTAGGCATCACCTTATATGGGCTATTACGGGCTACACTAAGGATTTAGCATTTAATACCAAGGACAATAAAAAGCTATTAAAGGTTTTAGGCAGGAAACTGACATTTAGATTTGTAATCTTACACAATCTATGCTATGTAAACAATAAAGTGAAATAAGAGAGTGTGTGTGTAGTCAACAGAGAAAAGGATACAACCTAGGCAAGAGATTAATAGTGACTTGAATTAGGGAAGTGGCAGTGTTGATGGAGATAAAAAGACATATTTGAGATATATTTAGAAGAATAAACAGGACTTTGTAATTGACTGCCTATGGGGTATAAGGTGAAGAAGATATCAGTGATAGTTTTCTGCTACGAGTAACTAGGGAGATAATGTATAATCAAGATGGGGAACACTGGAGAAGGAGCTGCTCTGAGAGTAAAAACCAAGTTCTATTTTGAACATACTGAGTTTGAGATGACTATCAATAGACATACAATTGGATTCAGTTACACAGATGGACTTACAAGCCTGGAGCTCAGTAGGGAAGCCTGGGCTGAAGGCATAAATGGCAATTCATAGACATGCATAAATATTATTTGAACTTCATGTGAGTAGTTACAAACAACAGTGCGGAATTAGAAAGAATGAACCTCAGATATACTCATTCAAATGTCAACATTTAAGAGTTGGAAAGAAGAAGTGAAAGGGGGACAGAGAATGAGCAGCCTGGAAAGTAGGAAGAAAATGAGTAGAGATAATCATGGAAGCACAGAGTTCAGAGTGATTAAGGGAGAAGTGGCCAAATATGTTAGAGTCCTTAAAGAGCAATTCGCAAGATCAGCTTTATTCAAAGACTACAAAAGAGGCTGGATTGAAATTAGGTTAAAAAAAAAAACAGCAGTATGGATCTTTATCATTCAAGAAATCCGACTATCAGATTATCAGTATGGATAATCTTTATCATTCAAGAAATCTGGGTCACAACTGCAGTAAGATTCATTATTTCACTTAATCCTCAAAATTACCATTATCCTTATTTTATAGATGAGGACACTGAGATTTACCCCAAGGTTAAGGGATGAGCCTAGTTTTCTCATCTCATCTAGATGAGCCCTAAAAGTTCATCTACTTCCATGAAGAAATGAAAAAATATACCTCTGTTTCTGTTCCACAGTCATAATAAACTTAGCATCCTTCACAAGAACAGAAGCAGCCTGTTGCACACCCTTCCTTGTTGCACAAAACTGAAAATAAATTCATAACTTTTATATTAATCATGTTAAAAACTGAATATACTAAAAAATAAGCATGAACAATCCATACCACAAGTGTGGGTTTCTGATCAGAGTACATTTGTATAACACTGGCAATTTTGTAGTCGAGGGTTAAATCAAACTTAAACTCATTTTGGTTACTACTGCAGGGAAATCCAAGGACCACTTTCTGAAGTTTCACAGGTCTATGGCTCTCATCCATTTTCAGACATACAGCCGGTCTTTCACCATCTGAAAGCCATTCTGCAATCTTTAAAACACAAAAACATGTGCATTAAAATTTTCTTCTAGTAAAGTTCTATTGCTAAAAACAACCCAATTACAGATCACTTTAAGGTCAAGCTATAAAAGTATTTAATCAAGTAGACTTTTTCAATGTTACATATTCCATTAATATTATTCCGTTGATATAGTAGCCAACTATACCAATAGCACTATTTCAAGATTATACCCACTTTTCACCATGGTAAACTTCCAATTAATTATTTTGTTTTCTTTTCTTTCATAAAAATCCAAAGAAAAATTAAAATCAATTTTGTCATAGAGGGCAAATTTATCACTGTCATTTTAACTTATTCACTATTTTTGAAAACTATGCCTCAAAATGGCTGACATTTCTTTTGTGTTGTCCTAAATATTAGATGAATAGTATCAAAGTAATGGTTGGCTTATGCTGACAAGGGTTGACAAGTTATTAAGTAAACAACAAACACTTTAGAGATAGCAGTGTCAAAAGCACACTTCATACTCAATGCTAGAGTCGCCAGTTTCTGGAACTGTGGTAAGCAATCCTTATCTTTACATAGCCCAGTTAATAATCAGGCTCCACGCCCTGCCATCAAAGTGACTGTTGTTTTGACAGGAAGAAGGTAGATAAATGAGTTACATATTGCGAAGGAAGAAAATATTAATGCACATCCTCAGCTTTTGGAATTGTTGCAGATACGGCTACAAATCGCATTAAAAATAACAGTGCTGGTATTTTTTAAAGTCTGAGAAACAGACTTACTGTTTTCTCAAGATTATCATGAGTAGGGATATCACAAAAGAATTTATAGTCAGAGGGAACAGGCCAAGGATAAAGACCTTAATTTAGACAAAAAGATCTGACAAAAGAGACAGAAAAACTGCATTCACAGAAGTAGTGTTTACCACAAAGGGGAAAAGTTTCAAGAATTAGAGAGTACTAGTACATAATAATCGCTTACAAATAAGTAAGAGAAATTTAATATCTCAATGTGAAAAAAGGAAAAATGACATAATCTGGCAAACAGCAAAAAAGAACGTAAAGCAGTTGATAAATATATTAAAAATATTTACTTGAGTAGAAATCAAAGAAGTAAAAAAAATTTTAATGAGATACTATACTAAACAATAAATCCTATATTTAAAAATGATAATAGCAATAATAATTTCATTATTATACTATCCAGTGTTAGGATACAGGAGAATAGCTTCTGGTAGAAGTATAAATGAATATAACATTTATTGAAGGAAGCGTTTCCTTGGAGTTTTGTATATCCTTTGATTCAGTTATTTCATTCTAGAAGTTCATTCTAAGGAAATAATCATGGATGTTTTAGATATATTACTTTCACTCTGTTTACAATAGCAAAATTGGGAATAACTTAATCTTCCATTATTATAGTGTTTAATAAATTACAATAAAACCACAAAAATAGATATTGAAGAATATTTCATGATATGAAAATGTTTATAGGTAAAATGCAGGTCAAAAAAAGAGTATGTACATTATGTTTCCTACATGTGGAAGGACAAATACTAGGATTTAGTTTTGCTGTTTTAATAAACTTTAAATTTTTCTATATAATTTTTCTATATCATTCTTGACAAATGAGCAAAACAAGTTGTCATTTTAAGAACAAGAAAATGATTAATTGTGCCAAATTAAAGACAAAGACAAAATATTCCATTGGAATAGACAATATAGTGGCTATTTGTGAAAACAATTTCTAAGAAGTAGTAGGGGAAAAGCAATATTATAGCAGGCTGAGAAGTGAGGAGGAATGAGAAAGTAGAGTCAGACTATTATTTTTCAGGAAGTTTACTTAAAAATTGAAGAAAAAATTAAGTCATATATTCATTCACTTTTCCATCTTAGTGCTTATCACAATGCCAAGCACACAGAATTGAAGAGCAAGTGGTAATCATCTAAGCAATTATTTTTATTTTCCACCACATTTCACTATACAACTAAAGTCAGCTAATTACAACAACCATCAAATATTATTAGTGAAGTTATTATGAGGCTTTCAGATACTAGCAAACAAAAAATTTCCACAAAAAAATGTTTTATTAAACCTGATTAACCAAATTTTATGGCCTTCAATACTGTCATATTTATGAGATCTAGCCACATTTTTCTACAACATACTTTCCTATTAAAGGAAAGGACAAAATAATTTACTTTTTTCTAAGACCAAAATGACTAAATATTTCACGAGTCATAAAAAACTTGAGAGCTCAGCTAAAACTGTAACTCACATCCTCAGCATTTGGAATTGTTGCAGATACAGCTACAAATCGCAATGGAATAACAGTGCTGGTATTTCTTAAAGTCTGAGAAACAGACTGTACAGTTTTCATTCTGCTGACTACAGCTTCAAGAGTTGGACCACGATTTTCATCTTTTACAATATGTACCTAAGCAGGAAATCAAGAAAAAATTATTAGCTATACAATTAAAAGTATGTTTAATCAATTAAAATATTCAATAATATTAACATTCTTGTTTGAGAAAATGAGCATTTTTCACTTGTAGGGATAAAACAAACATATAGTTTGGTTGAAATGTCTTTTTTCTATCTATTCTAATTATCTTTTTATGTTTATCTCAGAAAGTGAATGCATTCATTACCTCATCAATGAGAAAGAGTCGAACCAGCTGAACCAAAGAGTTGTCTCTCCATTTCCTAGTCATGCTATCCCATTTTTCCTAGAGAAAAAAAAAAGTATACAGGTAGTTTAACGTGATAAGGAATTATAATAAATATTATTTAAGATATCGAAAAAATTTTTAACATGACATATTACAAAAAATGAGCAATTTTGGTTGATCCCTTAAGAGTATCCTGAAAAATATTTATATATTAAAAATTATTTAATGAATTTTTACAGTCTTACAGGTGTTTTAAAAACTGGGTCCTCAACTGTTTTTACACTGAACCACAAAATATTAAGTTCAAGATTTACTACCTATTTTTAAATTCTACCAAGGTCCTCCCTCTACAATACATACTACTTAGGTTAAAAAAAAAAAAAAGCAACAAATATGATTACAAAGCATCCACAATAACAAACTGCCTATTCTTTGTCAATTTTTCCTATTTGGTCATTTGTTTTTTACTTACTGATTTGTAGGTACTCTTTCTGTAACTTGAATTGTAGTATTTTTTTAATGTTTGTTTGTTTATATTATAAATATATGCTTCTAGTTTGTATTTTTTAAACTTTTTGTCTTGGTAAAGAAAAATAAGTATTTTCTAACAAACAAAACCATAAGGTATAAATAATACCTACTGGAGTTGTCATAATAATATGGGCATGCTGAATTTCAAATAGGTCATCCATTACTGTATCTCCAGTAAGTTCTTTACAATTCAATCCTATTGGTCCAAATTTTTCTTTCCAGTCATCAAAACGCTGACTACACAAGGCTTTTATTGGTGCCACTGTAACAATACAAAATACTCACTTTGAACATCAGTTCAATTTTAAAATTATTTTACAAACTTTGGTCAATAGTTAGAATAAAAAATACACATCTACATACTCCTAATATTGATAAATTAAAAATTAACAATATAGGCATATTACTTAGAGCAGGGGTGTCCAGTCTTTTGGCTTCCCTGCAACACACTGGAAGAAGAACTGTCTTGAACCACACATAAAATACGCTAACACTAATGATGACTAATAAGCTTAAAAAAGAAAAAATCTCATCATGTTTTAAGAAAGTTTACAGATTTGTGTTGGGCCACATTCAAAGTCATCCTGGGCTGCATGCGGCCTGCAGACCACAAGTTACACAAGCTTGATTTAGAAATATCAAGGTAATAACCAAAAAGAACTAAAAATAGAAATAGAAATGATTTATCAGGCAAGTATAACTAAAAGTGGAGAAAGGTAGGGCAGAAGATTATTGCTTTTCATTATAAGGCCTTTAGTGATATTTGATTTTTAAGCCATATGCATATATTAATTTTAAAAAGTTTAAAAATACACACCTCAAAAAGGAGACTAAAGCTCCTATGCAACTTCCTAGAATTACAAAACGTTTGATTTTATTTGTTCATTTTGCTAGTCCTTTAAAATATAAGCATGTAAAAGTCAAATTCTGAATTCAAATATGAGTTTTTATTTATAATTCTGGAAAGTGTGTTTTAAATGTAATGACAAATGAGACCAGACTTTACTAGAAATGTATAGAAAACCAAATAATTTCTATGGCCAGAAACTGAATTTCTTTCTTTATTTTGCTTCAATGGTCTTTCGTTATTATAATTAATTATCACTCTTATAGTAAATACTTACTGTAAACAATTTTAACATTTGACCATGGCAATGGTACTTCCATTAACAATCTTGTTATAGCTAGTTCAAACACTACAGTTTTTCCAGAACCAGTTGGAGCACAAATCACAAAATTCCTATCTGTGTAAAGAAGCTAAAAAATAAAAATTAATCAATCATGTAATATATAGAATTTTTCATACACATTCTCAATTTATTAAAAAATATGCCTTAATAAGAATCTAAGAACAATTTGAACACTTTTCTCTAAATTTATAAAACATGTAACTTTGCTCCAGAACCTCCACTCTCAAAAAATAACACTATTAATATTTTATCATGCTGTTTTATTTGTCAATGCCAGATCTAGATGAAAATCATTCCTGACCAGGTGTGATGGCTTAGATCTAGAATCCCAGCACTTTGGGAAGCCAAGGAAGGCAGATGTCTTAAGGTCAGGAGTTTGAGACCAGCCTGGCCAACATTAGCAAAACCCTGTCTCCATTACAAATACAAAACTTAGCCAGGCATGGTGGCTCATGTCTGTAATCCCAGTTACTTGGGTAGCTGAGGCACAAGAATCGCCTGAACCTGGGAAGTAGAAGTTGCAGTGAGCTGAGATTGTAATTTTAAGATTCAACCATGGCAATGGCACTTTCATTAACAATCTTGTTATGACTAGTTCAAACACTAGTTTTTCTAGAACCAGTTGGAGCACAAATCACAAAATTCCTATCTGTATGAAGAAGCTAAAAAATAAAAATTAATCAATAATGTAATATATAAAATTTTTCACACACATTCTCAATTTGTTAAAAAATATGCCTTAATAAGAACTGCATTCAAATACAAACAAATCCACCTCTGAAAATCACATGTATTCATTTACCAAATATTTTCTGAGCTCCCATAATGTGCTAGACACTGAGTGTGGCAGTGCAGACATAAAGATCTAATAAATCCTGGGATCTAGTGATCATAATCTAGTGAAAGGTAAAAAAATAAATAAGTAAAATAAAATACTTACATCATCAAAGGCTTTGGACTGTATATAGTTGAAATATGGAAATTCTTTGAAAATACTTCTGAATTTTGTTGCTTGCAGTAACATTAAGGAGTTAAATATTTTAGAATTTTAAAAATTGGTTACTTTTAATTTTAAAATTCAGTTACATTAATATTGATTCTGACAATATTTAATGATGAGATTTTAAAACTTGCTATTTGGTATCTTAAGAAAGTAATTATATCAGAAATTATTCTAATCTCCAGTCACATTCCATATTCTGAAAAGAACTTGTAGAGTTTGTATAGGGAAATAAGAGATTATATAAGGGTTATACTTGAGTGCTAAATATGATGGAAGAAATTCAAGTACATAATGGCAAGTAAATCAGAGCTACACTTGTAGTTTACCTTTTCCAAAGTAGTACTTTTTCTTACATACCTGAGGTCACTTGATTTTTATCTCTTCTTGGTGTGTTCCTGGTTACCTAATACTAAATCTCTTTGTTTTTGATAATTTAGTTGTGTTAAGTGGTGGGTTTAATTTTAATTATCAACATACTGGTTTGATAGGAAGAACTTAAATCATCCTTCCCCTGTAAGAAAGTTCAAAAATATTAATAGATATAAAGAATAAACTGTCCCCTCTCCAAGGTGAGGGTCTACTGACAGATAGGGAGATATCTGTATTTATATGGTATTCTTCTTACAATATATCAACTAGATTTATTGTTCACTATGTACAAAACATATTACTAAATTTAGAAAGCTGTGGAAAGCTGTAAATAAAGAAGAAAATGAGTTCCTACAATTGAGACTGTTATAATCTATTAGAAGATTTAAGATGGTTAATAATACATCTGAGAACACAAGTACATATTTATTTAAAGAACTGGATTTTTACAAAGGTATACAAGAACTGATGGATTGCTGTAGTGATCCTGTTAAAACTTAGATCATATTACTTCTCTGATCAAATTCCCCCCTTTCTCTCAAAAGTATATGGCTATACGGCCCTACATGATCTTGTCTTTCCACTGTCACTCCCTCCCCCTAATATCGCCTGCCTTTATCTCTCTGACTTCATGTCCTACTACTCTTTCCCCCTGACTCATCTCCTCTAGCTACACTGAACTCTGCTGTTCTTCAAAAACATCAGCCATGTTCCTACCATGAAGCCTTCTCTCTGCCTAGATTGTTCTTCCCTCTGTATTACATTGGCTCTTTTCCTTCCATTAAGCGCTTAAATCTGACCTTCTCAAGAAGATCTACCCTAAGTAATATTTAATTCTGTACCCTGATCCCTGAATCCCAGCAGCCCCAATTTAACCCCCTTACCCTGCTCTACTTTTTTATTTTCCCATAATAGTCATCACTTTCTAAAATACTGACTTATTTATATGCTATTACAGTTGTTGAGATCCAGCTTCTTCTATACCCTCATCCCAAGAATGTCATCTCCTCAAAAACAAGGATTCATCGCCTGTTTTCCTGTGACATATCCCAAATACCTACAACAGTGCCTGACACATAGTAAGTACTCAGTTAATATAGGTTTGCAATTATTACATCAAGCAATTAATTTATAAATCCTCATTTTACTTTCTGTTGTGCAGTGTCTCATCTGTGCCAAAACAAAAATGTAATTTTGCATTTGAAAATCTATCAGCTTTAGAAGGAATCTCATTTTCCTTCAAAATATGTCTCTTTCTATCAAGTGTTTATTTGTAACAAGCCCACAAGTGGGCCATCATGCTGGTTTTTCTCTCAGTAGATAGTTTCACATGAATTTATATTCACAAGAAATGAATCTTTGATTCAGAGTAGATATAGAATCAGTGTTACAGCTCATAAGAAAACTCAGCTGCTAACACCATTTATCATAACTATCAACACTTGAAATCAACCTTTTTCCTTTCATTCAACAAACTCTCAGCAGTGTCACTGAAATTATATGTTATAATGGAAAAAACGTCTGCAGAACTGAAAATGACAAGACTACTGACAAAACTTCTACTGCCCTGAGGATTCAAATGTATTAAAAAGAATAAGAAAATAAGGTATGTCCAAGTAATCTACAAACTCTCAAATTATCACAAATTGCATTCAGTCTTCCACCTTAAATACACACTTGGAAACAATAAGGTATAGTACAATGGGTTTTACAGCAAATGAACATTTTGGACAATAAATCAGTGGACACAAGTGTAAGCAGTAGTCCTCACTAACAAAGACCCCTAAACAACAGAAGCCACTTCAGCTGTGCTAATATAGTGTAAAGATCCTCAAAATTCTTCAAAACGCAGTGTCATTATAGAAAGGCTTTCCAGTAAAGGATAAGAAGTCACATACAGATGAACATCTTTAACAGCTTACTGCTAATATATTTCCTATGTTTCTATCCTATTTTGATCACCAGAGAAGAGAAAGTGTGGCAGCAGTGAGACACCATGGTCAATAAAGTGCTAAACAATGGCTGTTTACAGTTACTGTATCATGTACAACTCTCTTATTGATCACTCTCCCCCATTTTAACTCAAATCAGCTATCTGCATTGGAGGCAACTTTTCATGAGAAGTCAGGCAAATATTTTCTAACCATACTTCAGAATTATCTGATGATCCCCAGAGTACTCAGATTAGAGTTACTGTTGCCTAGATTTCTCTAGCACAGCTACCCAATATCTGGAATTCATTTTACATTTTGTCAACTAGACCATAACTTTTGTGGATGCTAGGGCACTTCCAAGCATTGAGCCATGAATTATATTTTCCTAAAGCATAGCTATAATGATGATATTTGACCTGCTCAAAAATATTACACGGTGTCTCATTACATAGATCTTAAGTATTTTTACTACAAGAAAGAAGTAACTATGTAAGCTGACGGATACATTAATTAGCTTGATTGTGGTAACTATTTTTGCAATGTTTACCTATAAAAAAATCATGTTGTATTCCTTAAATACATATGATTTTTATTTGTCAATTACACCTCAACAAAGCCAGGGAAAAAATCAAAATCAAAGCAAAAAACCTTTGACCTTGGTATTCATGACATTAAATGATATGATCCTGAGATACCTATCTAATATCATTTCTTATTACTTCTTTAATCATATCTTTCACTTCAGCCAAACTGGAAAGTTTATTCTTTCCACACATATTTCACAATTTTTTACCTTTACCCTTGCTATGGCTATACTTTTGCCAGAACAATTTCCTTACTTTACCTGCCTTACTTTATCTTCCTTTCGCTGTATGTGGAAATAGATAAATAAGTCATGACCCTTGCTTTCAAAGAGTTCATAGAGCATGAGAAAATAGTCACTAAACTGCTGGTGAATTAAAACAGAGTAAGTACTCTGTTATAGGCATACACAGGATATTAAAGAAGCAAAGACAATGTGACCTCCAGAACATGCAAACATACTCAAAATATTTACACTGGAAATGTCCAGATATGAAAATTGGATTATATGTATAAACTCCAAAATAGATTTTCAAAAATATTAGATTTATAGAAATGTTCCTAATCCACACAATGTCCCATTCTCATCCATTTCCCCTGGCCAGAACCCAATTTGGCTGCTCTGTCTCAAATGAGAAATTATCTGTACCTATTTGTAAGTAAATACGCTCAGAGTTCTGCCAATAATACAAATCTGACTTCCATACTTAGCCTGTCATAAACTGATAACAAACAGTTCACAAATTGGCACCAGTCTGCAACCACATTTTGACTAGCACTATCACATACATGTACCTCTTACACAACCAAAAAGATTTAACTTTTCCCTCTTTTTCTCTATCAACCAAAATAAACAGGAACACAATTAAACAAAATGTTTAAAATTATGATTTCATAAATACAAAGCAGTTATTGTAAATAGTTTAAAGGATACGAATCTCTGTGACGGCCTTCAATGAACCATTTTCTGTTACCTCTGAAAGAAAAGCCTACATATTTATATAAACATTAAAAATAAATTTTATGGTCAGAGGCTAGGACTTGCAATGAATATTTTTAACCTTTTCATGACAACTGCTTCAGTAAAACTAACATAACCTTTTTATTGAGAGCAAAGTTAAAAATATTTTTAGTACACAGCATAAAATATTTTAATACACAGCACAACTTAGAAAATAATGCAACATAATAAAGAAATGCAGAAATTGCAGAGAGAAAACCTAGTCGAATTTACTATATTTTTATATTTTCCCCTATGATAAGAAATGCAGATTAGTCGGTACTCATAAAATGAACTGAAAAAGCAAGAAATTACCTTGAACATCATGAGGCTGGAAAGCAACTGAAAAAGACGGTGTTTTGAACATGTCTTCTCCGTTTTCAGAAGCAGAAAAAGCATTATTTGCTGTAAACACATTTGCAGAATATTGATATTTCTGCTTACTATTGCTACAGTTCCTTGATTTCCCTTTGCTCATTTCTGTTTGTACAATTTTCACTGAGCCAATGTGAGAGTCCAATTCACTGTCATTAGAATATGCGTTCTCATGTACACTGTCAGATATTTTAAACAATCTGTGGGAAAAAAAAAGACCCACATATTTTCTCACTTGTAACACTTGCTTGAAATATGAAAAACTAGCATAAAATTGGCCCCTTTAAAAACACTCATAGATTATGGTTTACTCAAACAAACAAGCTAAATCATTCTCCTAAAATATAACTTGATAAGTTTACCAGTGGTATGTCTTTTCATTTTCCTAAAACTCAAGATAAGTCCATTTGTGATAGCCTCCAAAGCAGCCCCAGTGATCCTTGTCTGATCCTCACCCTTTTACAGTTTCGTACAAATTGAATCACTGAATCAGGACTGGCTTGTGTAACTAGCAGAGTACTGCAGAAGTGCAAGTGTTTGATTTACAAGGCTAGGTAATAAAAGACATTGTCCCTTTCCCATGGTCTCTTAGATCTCACTCTGTGGAGAGCTAGTCACCACATAAAGAGAACACTCAAGCAACCCTATGGAGAGGACCAGGAGGAGAGGTACTGAGGTCTCCTGTCAACAACCAGCACCGATTTGTCAGTCAAGGACAGCAAGCCACCTTGAAGACAGACCTGATAGCCCCTGTCAAGCTTTCAGATGACTGCAGCATGGCTAACATTTTGATTGTGGTCTTCTTCTGAGAGGCTCCCAATAACTTTATGCATTCTCACAAGAGACCCTAAGCCAAAGTTGTTCCTAAATTCCTAGCCTGGAGAAACTGTGAGAAATAATAATGTTTATTGTTGTTTTAAAACACTAAGTTTTGGGATAATTTTATTACACAACAACAGATAACTAATATTCCATTTAAAGTCAATAAAGTGCTTTAGAGAGAGCAAAAGCCACTAGTCACAGTAAATAGTAAAATTTATAACACCTAATAGTAGTTAAATTTAACTAAAGTGATTCAAGTTACTGAATTATATTAACATAATAAATGTACAGGAATAAACTAACAGACTTGTTATGAATTAAAAGTTGTCAGCAACTGTAATTCACACCACAGAAGCTACCAGATAAGAAACAGTTTTCCTAGCCAATCAAATCAGCACTGTGTACCCCCTAAAAAAGGAAAAGATGTAAACTAAGTATATTTGCAAATCAAATCATCCCAAACAAAGAACTACTTCTTTGCAAAGTTCTATAAACAAGCAAACACTATCTTTATGACTATACTGTATTATATTTGACTGATCAAAAGACAATCTATCAAAGTAGCTTGTTCACACTATCCTTAAAGGATGAAGTAACCATTAAGGTTCCTAATACAACACTCACATCTTATAGAATAAGTAATGGAGATGATTTATCCATTCAGGGTCTGAAGATCAAGTTTAATCAGCAATGGCCAGTGATTTCATTAATCATGTCTATGAAATGCAACCTCCACTAAAACGCCTTAACAACAGGGTTCTGAGAGCTTCTGGAATGGTGAACACATCAAGGTGCTGACAGAGTGGCATGCTCAGAGAAGTTATGGAAGCTCTGTACCCCCTCTCTTATATTTTGCCCTATGTATCTCTTTCATTTGGAGTGGTACCCTTTATAATAAGCTGGTAAATGTAAGTAAAGTGTTTCTCTTAGGCCTCTGAGTCATACTAGCAAATTATTAAACCTAAGATGGGGTCATGGGAATCCTCAAATTTGTACTTAGCCAAACAGAAATGTGGGTAGTCTGGGAATCCCATTTTCAGCTGGCATTCAAAGTAGGGTCAGTCTTATAAAACTGAGCCTCTAACCTGTGGGTCTGACACTAATTACAGGAGTTAAGTGTCAAACTGATTTAAATTGCTAGACACCAAGTTGCTGCAGAGAATCAGTCAGTGTCAGTCAACACCCAGTCTTTACATTTATGGTCAACTGACTTCCAATGATGGTGCCATGACATTCAGTAGGGAAAGAACAGTCTTTTCAACAAATGAGGCTGGAACTGAATATCTACATGCAAAAAGAAAGAGAATGGATTCTTACTTCACACAAATATTAAAATATTAACATAATAGATCACAAACCTAAACATAAGAGCTAAAAACTCTGAAACCCATAGAAGAAAACTTAAGAGTAAATCTTCATGACTGTGGATTAGGCAATAGTTTCTTAGATATGACACCAAAAACAAAAGCAACCAAAGTGATGCCAAATAAGTATTATATCAAAGCAAAAGTATAAGCATAAAAGACAAATTAGATAAACTGGACTCTATCAAAATTTAAAACTTTTGTGTTACAAAGAACACCATCAAAAAAGCGAAAACCCACAGAATAGAGGGAAATATTTGCAAATCATACAGATGAGGGACTTTTATCGAGAATAAAGAACTCTTAAAACTCAACAATTAAAAGACAAATAGCCCAGTTAAAATATGGACAAAGGATCTGAATAAGACATTACTCCCAAGAAGATATACAAATGATGATAATCACATGAAAAGATTCTTAACACTATTGTTATGCACTGGATATTTATGTCCCTCCCTCCAAATTCATATGTTGAGGTCCTAATCCCCAATGTTATGGTATTTGGAGGTGGGGCCTTTGGAAGGCAATTGGGTTTAGATGAGGTCATGAGGGTAGCTCCCCATGATGGGATTAATGCCCTTATAAAATAGAAGATGAAACATGAGATCTCTCTCTGTTTATACACACACCAAAGAAAAGCCATGTGAGAACATAACTAGGCAGAGGGTCCTCATCAGGAACCCAATCATGCTGGCACTCTGATTTCTGACTTCCAGCCTCCAGAACCATGAGAAACAAATCTTTGTAATTTACACCACCCAATCTATGGTATTTCATTATAGCAGCCCAAACTCAAGACAATTAGTCATTACAAAAATGCACATCAACACCACAATGAGATACCTTTTCACACACCCAGTAGGATGGTTATAATAAAAAAGACAGACAATAACAAGTGCTGGCCAGAATGTGGAGAAACTGGAACCCTCATGTATTGCTGATGGGATAGTAAAGTGATGTAGCCACTTTGGAAAATGACTTGGCAGTTCCTTAGAAAAGTTAAATATAAAGTTACCATATGACCCAGCAATTCTACTTCTGGGCTTATATCCAAAGAATTGAAAACACACATTCACACAAAAACATGCATGCATTTTCATAGCAATATTATTCACAATAGCTAAAAAGTGAAAACAACCCAAATGTCCATCAACTGATAAGTGAATAAACAAAACGTGATATATCCACACAATGGACAATTATTTGGCCATTAAAAAAATGAAATACTGATACATAACCCAGCATGTATGAACCTTGAAAATGTTGTATTAAGTGAAAGAAGCCAGCTACAAATGGCTATATTTTGTATAATTCCACCTATATGAAATGTTTAGAATAGGTAAATCCATAGAGACAGAAAGTAGATTAATGGTTGCCAGGTGCTGTGGAAAGGGAGGAATGAAGAGTAACTGTTAATTAGTAAGGAATTTATTTTGCAGGAGATGAAAATGTTTTAAAATTAGTTAATAGTGATGGTTGCAAAACTATGTATTATAAAAAACAAGGTGGGTAAATACATAAGAGTGAAAAAAATAAGAAAATAAACAATGAATTCTACGCTTCAAAAAGGTGAATTTTATGATATGTGAATTATAGCTTAGTAAAGCTGTTATTAAAAACACTATAGAGAGCAACCTCAGCTGGACCCTTTACAGTGACCATCAATCCTACCATTATTCTAATTAGACTGCTTTACCATTCTCTAAAATTTATCCCACTCTTTTCATTCTTGCTCAATACTCTTTTTTCCCTCAAACTCCACAGATAACCACATCTACTATATCATAGAGAAAACAAAAACTATCAACTAAACTTCTTCTGAATGTTGAATCCATATACCCAATTGCCTATCTGGACTCCTTATAAATATCTAAAATCAGTATGTCCAGATCTTTACTCATCACCGTCCCCCAAACCTCTTCTTACTTGGTAGTTCTTTATATCATAAAAGGGTACTACCAACCTTCATAATTCTGGCTCAAACCATAAACCTAGGAGTCAGATTTCATATCCAATAATCACTTAAATCCTGTGGGATTGTATCTCCCAAATAATTCTGGATTGTCTCCATTCCTGATTCCATAGTCCTAGGTCAGGCTACCATTTTCTTCCATCTGGACTAATAAGATAACCTTTCAAGCAGACCTTCACAATTTATTTTAACTCCCTTCTATTATAATTAATCCTCCATTCTGGTGCCAATAATGAACTCTTTAATAAAAGAAAATCTAATTTCACTCCTCTGTTTAAAACCCAAGGCATTAGGAAAATGGGTCTCAAACTTTTGTGTGCATTAATATTCACCTAGAAAATCTGTTAAAAATGAAGATTCCTGTGTCCCACCTGGACTGTTGTGGTATCATCTGTAGTAGATAAAATAGTTAAATATTATAATTATGGTTATTTTTACATGTAGCACTAGGACTATAACAGCAGGAATGGAGAAAGTCAGGAATTATTTAGGAGATAGAATTTTCTGTTTTCCTCATTCACATTGTATTATATTTAATACTTTAAGATGTACAAACAAATATTCAACTTTATTCACATAATATTTAATTTAATTAAAATAATTACCTTTTCCGGAATACTGATGTGCTCTCTCCTGTATCTTCTGCAAACTTAACTAATTTTGTATTATCAGGAACACTCTTCTCAGGTGCTGTCTCAGTGTTGATGTGATTTTTACATTGCTGAGAACCATATGTCAGCTTTCCAGCAACATGTGGTAAGTCATTGTTACCTACCCCTTCTAAATTTAGACCAACCTGTTCATATTTATTAGAAGAAAAGGCAAATTGGAATTTTTGTGTTGGTGAAACATAATTTGTGTCTTCATTAGTTATCTTTAAATTTGATGTTAACATTTTTGGCCTCTTTTCCTGACCTACGAAAAAGGAATATATTAATTATTATAAGCTCTCCATTAAAGAAAATTTTCAAAATGATAATGAAAAACTTTAAAATTCCAAGTTAAATATGAAAGCCAAAAGCAAAGCGCTAATACAATAGTAAGATAATCTGTAATATCATATACGATTTTAAAATACAGGTGATTGTTACTCTTATGGTATATTACATCACTGAAAGACACTCAGAAATTAATGTGGAATTACTGAATTAAATTTGAAGTTTATATAGCATCTGCATTATAAAAGAGGTTTATTTCTGACCCATAACAAATGATTTTACGAGTGATTATGAAGATTTAAAATTTATATGATTTACACCAGAAATACAATGACCAATTATATAAAATGTTACAAAACACAATTCATTATTAATATATCTAATGCTTTTAAGTTTGTAATCTTGCTTCTAAAATCAAACTAAAGGAATGTTTTCATCAGAGTGACACAATTTTAAAGGTTTCTTTAGAGGCTTTACAAGAATTTTTAGGGAAGTTTAGGGGGTTAGGGAGAGTTTGGATGTCTGATTAGAACTTAAATTTGCTTTAGCATCTATTTATGTACATTACACCCTATGTTATATATGTGAAACAAGTATATGTATATAAAACATATATGTAAATTATGAAGCTTAATAATAAAATATATATGCATGAACCTATGACCCAATTTAAAAATTAAAATGTTATTAATATTACATTATATCACATACATTGTTTGGGTGTGCTTGTTTTTGAGCTTTTTAAAAATGGTATCAAACTGTATTTAATCCTCTGCATCTCGCTTTTTTCACTTGGTATTTCTGGGATCTGTTTAACAGGAGCTCTTATCTTTAGTAAACGGCAAGGCAAAAACTGAATAGCAGTGATAGGAGTTTTGATAGTAAAAGAAAAAATATTCGTAGAACAAAAATCAAAATATGTGTGTATTATACTATATTGTGTGCAGTTACGTGTGCATATGTATGTGCATTATATAGAGAGGGAAGGAAAATGTTTTAAATTTTAAGATTTGGTGGGCACTATTTTGTTTTTGGAGGTAGCTATGTATGTATGTATTTGGAGATGGGGGAGGGGTCTGTTTGTTTATTTATTTATTTATTTAGAGATGAGGTCTTCCTATGTTGCCCAGACTGGAGTGCAGTGACTATTCACAGGCTCCCAAGTAGCTAGGACTACAGGCAAATGCCACTGCATCCAGCTTGGTGAGCACTCTTTTTAACAAAAGAAGGATCTTTCATTTTATTTCATTAAAACAAAGAAATTTTAATTGATACATAATGAGTATACATATTTTGGGGGTATATGTGATATTTTGATACATGCATACACAATATGTAATGATCAAGTCAGAGTTTTTTAAAAAATATTGCTATCAACTGTATGGGTTTGGCTTTATAACAAGTATGTGATGATTTACCTAATAGTCTATGACTTTCTAATTCTTCCTCTAACTCCTGAGTATCTGGAATTTCTGAAATCAATGGAGCAGGAGGGAGAAACCAGTCCAATGACTTTTCATTGTCTAGATGGCTATATAAAATATAAAAATGTAAGTATATGTGTTAATAAAGAGGTAACATGAGAAACTATTTATTAAACACTACTCAATTATAGACTCTTAAATATCCTATAAATTAACTTTCTGTCAGGACTTTATCTCTATGCAGCAGTGTTCAAGCTCTCACCGTTATGTATCATAGGATTAATGATACTGCTGTGTGAGATATGCTGCCTAAATAACGGCAATAACTCTACCTCCTTTTCGCCAATTCAAATGCCAGTAACAGGAATCTTAAATCTGCTCCAATATAAAAATAAAGTCGTAAATCATCCTCAAATTTTAGCATTTTAACTATTACAAGTAACAAATTACTCACAACTAATCATGGGTCATCAACGTGTTAATGACACCATTACTGATATTCCAGAGCTGGGATCCCCAATCCCGAGCTGCAGACCGGTACTGATCCACACAGCCTGTTAGGAACCCAGCTGCACAGCAGAGGTGAGCAGCAGGTGAATGAGCCTTACTGCCTGAGCTCCAACTCCTGTCAGATCATCAACAGTATGAGATTTTCACAGGAGTGCAAGCCCTATTGTGAACTGCACGAGAGGCTTCTAAGTTACATGTTCCTTATGAGAATCTAACTCATGCCAGATGAGCTGAGGTGGAACAATTTCATCCTGAAACCGTCTGTGAAACAATTGTCCATGAAACCCATCCCTGGTGCCAAAAAGGTTAGGGACCGTTGTTCCAGAGTACAGTTTTGCTATAACATTATTACAAACTAATGTCCTAACATAAATATTTCCAATGCAGAACCATCTACAAACTACAGAAAATCCAAGAAATCATTTAAAACTGACAATCTCTTTATAACCTACAGTAATTGATATTTTTGCCACCCTGTTGGCAACATTAACTACCCCTCCTTATCTTTCAACTGTGATCCTGTTAACTGATACTGCTTTAATGGTTCCTTTCCCATCAAAGTTGACTTGTTCTTCATTAGGACAAAAAGATTAAGTGTTAGGTGATAGGAAATAGAGCTGGGAAGAGCATGATATATTCTGTCTACAAGTCCCAAAGATTTTATGATCTAGTCATTTAGGATGTCAACTTCTCTAAAGTGAGAGATTCAGTCTTTTACTTTTCTGTCTCTCAGAGCACCTAGCACAGAGCTACTCCAGCCATATTTTCCAAGCAAAAAATCTACAACACATTATCTGACAATGTCTAACAGACTGTTTAATAACAGGCAAGATCTTTTAAAATTTAGGACGTCAGAGGGTCCCCAAGATCACTCCCAGTTCAATAATTCCCTAAAATGACTCCTAAGACTCAGCATATAGTCCTACTCATGGCTACCAAAGGATGAAGCCCAAGGAGAACCAGGCATAAGCATTCAAGAGTCTTCTCCCAGCACACTCACATGGGAGGCACTTAATCCTCCCAGTAAGCTTAGGACAATACCAGTGAAATGTTGAAAGAAGTGAAGCTCTTCAGGGACCCAATGCCTAGGGCTTTTACTGGGGGTTAACATTAACACAAGCATCCCCTGTCTGGGACACACCTAAATTCCAGAATCTCAGAAAAAAAAAAGCAGGTGTTCAACGTAAACCATATTACTTGTATAAACAGTTTACACCCAGTAAGCCACTGTTGTCAGTTAATGGAGGGGATCTTCCTGAAATCTAAGTTCTCAGACTGTAGCCAAAGCCAACCTTGCAAGCAGATCTTTTCATGAACAGCAGTTTAAGCCTGCTACGTTAACTCTGTTTTGCCCAAGGACTATTTCAGAAAATCCAAGAAAGAGGACAATAGCTTTACTATTCTGCTTCTTAATAAAATCAAGTCTTTCTTATAATTTCCCAATTGTTTTTCCAGAAGTGACATCATCATCCCAGTCACACAGAATCCAAACCATAGTATCTGTTTTACTGACTATATCTAGATACATATTAGGTCTTATTGTATATTCCTTGTAACGTTTCTTAATCATTTCTTTTGTGTTTCCACTGTCATTATCATAACCAAGGTTCTTATTAATTTGTCTTAACTGCCCTCACTGATTCCAGGCTTTCTATCTAATATATTTTACAAGTTCCTAACCACATTCATTTGGAATTGTTCTCATTACATTAATCCATTCAAAATCCTTCAGTGGCTTTCAAAGATTGTCAAACTTCCTAGTGGCCTTAGACCACCTTACAGTTTTAACTCTCCTACACATACCTTATAGTCCAAACTAAACTGAACTCCTTATTGTATAACAAATAGATAATGCATTCTGTCTCTCCCCCCCTTTTTTTTTTTTTTTCCCTTGAGACAAGAGTCTCACCCTGCCGCCCAGGTTGGAGTGCAGTGACAAGATCTCGGATCACTGCAACCTCCACCTCCCATGTTCAAGTGATTCTCCTGCCTCAGCCTCCCCAATAGCTGGAATTACAGGCATATACCATCATGCCCGGGTAATGTTTGTATCTAGTAGAGACGGGGTTTCACCATGTTGGCCTGGCTAGTCTCAAACTCCTGGGCTCAAGTGATCCACTGACCTTGACCTCCCAAAGTGCTGGGATTACAAGTGTGAGCCATCACACCTGGTCACTCCTCACCTTCATTCAAAAGTATTTACTCAGCTTGCCCCTGAGCCCTGCCCCACTCCAATATCCACCTACAGAAATTCCACTATTTTATTCATTCATTAATCCATTCAGTGATTATTTACTGAGTACTATGTGCCAGATAACTGTTTTAGGCACTAGAGCTTATGTTCAAAGGCTGGATGAAATCCTACCTTTTCCAAGAAATCTCCCTAGGTTCCCAAAGATTTTCTCCCTCGCTGCTTCTTATAGAGGGAACCTATAATATGTATTATAGTCTGCCTTGAGTTGTGTGAATGTATTGATAGATAATAGACATAAACAGACAGATAAGTAGATGGATAGATATGTCAGATAGGTATTTGATACTCCCTCTGGATTGTAAACACCTAAGAGTTTCGTTTTTATGTGCATTTACATCAGCAGTACTTAGCACAGTCCTTTACATAATTACATGTACTATTCAAAAAATATTTGTTAATTCCATGGCTTTTAAAACATAGTTAATTATGTCCAAAATCCTTATTCCTGTATTTAATGCACATCACCATCTACCCTCAACTTAGAATTTCTCATTTTACGTCCCAATGTTTTTCCTTCATGAATTGTCTCCTGCAGGAAACTTGACTACACATTCTCCCTTAAAAGTACCATGGATTTACCACTGTACTGAGAGGTAAAAAGAAAAAAAGAATCATGGATTGTCCTATCTTCATTCTTTTTCTCTTGCTCTAACACTCTGCCTTCAAATGCCTACTTCTTCTCTTCCTTTAGGAACTATCAAATTCTTCAAAGCCTCCTGAAGTCTCCCCCTACTACCCAAAAGCCTGAGCTGATTGTGTCGTCCAAGACAACCTTCCTTCCAAGTCTGAAATTTCATTGCATGAACATATGCCTGTCATTTGCTTTGCACATATTTTTGACTGTATTTTGAGAAGGACAACTATATGTTACAAAATGTGCATTGGCCAGTCCTGATTAACACATATTGCCCCAGTTGGATGTACTCTTTCACTCTCAAAAGTATCCCAGTATAGATGATTATTTACATGGTCATATTACTTACTAATGCCTTTCCATTTGTGTTTAATCTCCTCAAATAGATTTTAAGTATTTTGCAAATGAAAGTCTGTTTAATCCTCTTTTATAACCATTTCAGCTTTCAATAGTTGAAAGAGCAAGAAAAGAATGAGGCAATAAATATACCTCATTAAAATGGGAGAATAAAATACACTAAAAATAAGTAGAAAAAATTCAAAATTGAACAACGGACATGAAAATCCATAAAAGTATTTAATATAATACCTACTCTCTACTCTTGTTTTCTTTGGTCTCACGTCTTTATTCCCACCCCTACTTCCTGCCAGCACTTAATGTGCCTATCATACTCTGTCTTTGGCATACTGTCTATTCTGTTTCCAAAAGGTGACATCATTTGTCCTGGGCTATTCTTTGAGCATTATTTCCCATTTTTAGCTTGGCCAAAAATAATCTGAACCAACCAGAAATGCAAATAAATGCAAACCAAATAGACAAGAATCTATTCTTTTTTTCTTTTTTTTTTTTGAGACAGGAATTTCACTCTCGGTTGCCCAGGCTGGAGTGCAGTGGCACCATCTTGGCTCATTGCAACTTCTGTGTCCTGGGTTCAGGTGATTCTCATCCCTTGGCTGGCCTCCCAAGTAGCTGGGATTAGAGGCATGCGCCACCAGGCCTGGCTAATTTTTCTGTACTTTTAGTAGAGACAAGGTTTCACCATGTTGGCTAGGCTGGTCTTCAACTCCTGATTTCGGGTGATCCACCTGCCTCAGCCTCCCAAAGTGCTGGGATTACAGGCATGAGCCACTGCACCCAGCTCAAATCTATTCTATTTTTAAAATTATAACATTCAGCCAGGCACAGTGGCTCACACCTGTAATCCCAGCACTTTGGGAGGCTGAAGCGGGTGGATCACGAAGTCAGGGGTTTGAGACCAGCCTGACCAACATGTTGAAACCCCATCTCTACTTAAAAAAAAAAATACAAAAATTAGCCGGGCATGGTGGTGCACACCTGTAATCCCAACTAATTGGGAGGCTGACGCAGGAGAATTGCTTGAAGCCAGGAGGCGGAGGTTGTGGTGAGCCAAGAGCATGCCATTGCTCTCCAGCCTGGGTGACAGCAACATTGTTTCAAAAAAAAAAAAAAAAAAAAGATAACAGTTAAAATGTTAAATTTCAGTTACTCCCCTATGCAACTGCTAAGAGTACTCCATGTTTACCTTATACATAACTGAAATATCTTTCTGTTGATTCTTCATTTTTATTTGTATATTTACCAGAGAGAAAATTAAAATTCCCCCAAATTCAAAAAACCCTAAAGTAATATACTATGTTATCAATCTTTAAGGAAGACTTACTTTTCAACTTCATCTGGTTTTTCCAAAAACAAATTATCCAAAGAAAACAAGCAAACATTTGATTTCAGCATTGTTGAAAACTGAACTTTGTCATCAATCTACAAAACACAGAAAAATTTTATATTTATAAAAATGTAGAAAAATATTTTTGCATATATCAATGATAATCACTAATTTTCCACAGACTCCTGTAAAATATAACCATAGACTATCCTTCCAGCTTCATCATCTGCAACTTCCTCCAAAGCACCTCAATATTTAATACATTATTCTCTGTTTTCCACTCATTCATGGATTCACACTTCCTCCCTTCTCTTCATAGTGTACCCATGCTTAACATGTGTTTTCTTCCATTCTCCAACTGGCAAATTCCTATCCATCCTCAAAGCATAGGTCAAATGTCACTTCTTCTTCAAAGGCTTTTCTGAATTTGTCCTCTTCCTCAAGGCAGAATTAATCAGTCTTCTTGGGCTCTTAATACTTTGTTCACACCATTATTTTTGAGTCAGGACAGCATATTTTATTGTGACTGTGTGCACCTCTAACAACATGGTATGTACATATCCAGGAATTTGCTTCAAAATAAAGAGGAGAGATTAAGGAGTGTTGAAGCAATATTGACAACAAGTTGATTACAGCTAAGGCTATGTAATAGGTACATAGAATTCATTATAATATGGTTTTTTAAATATGTCTGAACTTTTTCAAAATAGAAAAATTACAAGCTTAACATATGTATGTATGTTTACATTCACACTATATAATACATATACCACATATGTTTACATTCTTTTTTAAAAGATAATTTTTGGACTCAGATATTATCTAAACATAAAGGATAAAAACATTCAGCATTGGCAACTTTGGAACATAACAAAAATCTAAGGCTAAACAAAGACTGAAACGTGGTAGAAAACTAGTTCTCTAGAAACATATATTGTTCCATTCACATTAGAATTATTGTTTCCCTGCATATCCCAATTTTTTCTAAACTCTTAAACATGATAGTACATTCTATATGACAAAACATAAAATCAGATAAACAAGCTGTAAAACATAAATAACATTTCTGTTTCTTCTGTTATAGTTAATACACTGTAAATTTGTCCTCAAGATATAAACTACAATAAAAGAAATGGTATTAATGCCATCTAGTGGAGAAATAAGCATTACCAAGTCAGATTATGTCTCTTCAATTTTGAAACCTCCTTGATGTGGGGGATGAGATACAAGTAGCAATGATGTGGGGAAGGGAGAATGTTTCCACATACACCACTTGACAAATGCTACTGGTAAGAGAACTAAACCTGAATATGTACTTGCTGTTCTTATTGATACAGAATATTGTGGAGTTTTTTGCTGCTTTCGTTATTGGGTTCTTCCCCCTCCCATCTGTTTAACATAACTGTCCTCTTCATTTTTCTCTATCTCTTAATCAGTTACCAACAAAAACAAATAGTAAAAATGAAACAAATTAGTATGGTTCTATAAATGTCTAAAACGATTTGACTATACGAAAAATAGAAGCCTAGGATAATAGGGAAGGAAGTAGTCATTCTGAAATATGCAAAGTCTTTAACATCTTTAAGTAAACAATTTCAGAACTTGAAAACAATTATCTGAAAAAATATAAATGAAAATGTTAATCATGTTTTTATATTGCCCAAAAAGTAACAAATAAAATGTTCCCTTTCTAGTTTTAGGAAAACTATGTTCAAACAAAACAAACTTTTTCTAAAATAAAACTCACCAGACCACTTTTGTACAGCTTTGCTACCTTAGAATTTAAGTCAAAAATCTTAAGGCTAACATTTATATACCTGAATTCTTTATTTCCAAAGCAGTTACAAATAGACAATAAAACTACAAATTTAAAACATTTGGGAAGAAAAGTGTTGCATAAACTAACAAAAACCTCCTATACAAACAGCAAATATTTTCAAAATAATCTTTGATTTGATTTCTAGTTCTAGCATACAAGAATATAACTTGTTTTGGTTCAGAATAAAACATCAGGTAAATATTTTAGTTCTGATACACTCCTATGGGAAAAAAAACCACCCCCTTATCTAAAACTGTGCATCCTCTCATCCTGCATTATTTTTCTTCATAGCATGAATTGATAACTAACGCTGTAGTATATGCTTAGTTGTTTATCATGTTTCTGCCTTTAGAGCAAGCAGGGACTTTTTGCTCACTAATGTGTTCCAATAACCCAGAACAGTGCCTGGCACACAGCAAATGGTCCATAATAATTTATTGTGGAATAAATGCATAAACAATAACCTGTTTATAAAAATAATGTTAAATAAAAATACACTTCTGTTAACTCAGAAACTTAAAATTTGATCACCAATCTTCAACGTTCAGTTTAAAAGTGTGAAAGTTTTTTCTAGTTCAGGATTTATGTAAATAAAACCATGAAGGCTCTAAAAGATGATGGATTTAGCACTTTCATTACGTAAATACATCTTAAAAAAAAAAAAAAAAAAAAAAAAAAAACAGATCATAAAAGGGACCTTGCTACAGTTCAGTATGAGTTTGTGATGTAAGCGAATGCTATTTAAGTTAAAGTTCTAGGTTTAGATTCAGATTTTCTAAGTTCCTATTATTTATTATTAAAGTTTTAGTTTCACTCAGCATGTGGCACAAAATTAGATTGCCAAACACAATAAACAATATCATTCCAAGTAGTTTTATTTTTTATTTTATTTTTTTTTTTTTTAAGATGGGGTTTCACCTTGATGGCCAGGCTGGTCATGAACTCCTGACCTCAGGTGATCCACCCACCTCCGCCTCCCAAAGTGCTAGGGTTACTGGCAAGAGCCACCGCCCCGGCCCTCCAAGTAGTTTTATTTTTAAGTGTCTGCTCTACTACAATCACTGTTAAAATACTTATTTTTAACACTACATAATTTGCGGTGCCGATCTCCACCTTCTCTAGTTATACTAATGACCATTCACCATTTTGTCTTCTATAATCTTTACTTACTGTATAAAATTTCAGGTCTATTACTTATTTCTTACAATTTTTACACAGAAATATATTCCTTATTTTAAAAGTACAGAAACTCAGATGATTTGCTAGAAATTTTTGTGAGTGAAAGAAGAATTCAGGATCAACATTTACGGGAATAACCGACCGTCACAAATAACTGCAAAGAATTTGACTAAGAAGGAAAAATTAACAGGAACAAATTACTCCGAGGCTTGGCCAGGGAAAAGACCACACAATTGTCGGAGCCCCAGATCTCACCCCCTCTCCCCAGGTTCCATCCGGCCTGGAAGGGTCAGGCTGAGAACCGAAAACAGTTTTGTGGAGTCCCCAAGGAATATCCTAAATCCAAGGCAGAGGCCTTAGGGCCCCGAGAGTGGCGCAAGCTCGGGGCGCTAGGGCGCCTCACTTCAATCCCGGGTTCCCGGTTCCTCCCACCGCTGTGAAACCGGGCGGCTCAGGGTGCGCCACACACCAGAAGGCAGACACAAGAACCGAACACCAATCGGCCGACTCTAGGGGCGGGCCGGACGCCCAGCAGGTCCCACCCGCGCGGGAGCCGGGTCCGGCCTGTGGCCGAGCGAAACTCAGACCTTGCCCTTTCTGACTGGAAACGCAGCTGAGGCGACGGGCGTGGGCCTGCAGCCTGGGTTCGGCTGGTGACCAACAACTCACCACGCCCGTCCGTCCACTGCCTGCCCGGCAGACGGCTCCAGAGCTCGACCGCTGCTCCGGCGGCTTGGCGGGGTCCCCACCTCCCCACGGGCGTCTGACCCCGGTCCCTACCTAACCCGCAGGCGTCCGAGCCCCAGTCTTCACTTCCCCGCAGGCAGCTCCGAGGCCAGTCGAGCGCCGATTCATCAGCCACTCGGAGGACCCCCAGCCTGGCTAAGCCGAGCGCCAAGCAATGGATCGCTCGAGCCCCCTGCCTCTCCCTCGCTGCCTCTCTTTTTTTCTCCAAAAGTTTATAACTGGTTTTGACTATATCTCTCACAGGTTACTGTGTCTATTCTCATTAAATACAGCTCCTAATCTGGGTTCTACGGCTCTACTAAGTGGTACCCTTTCCCTAAGCTAGCCTGGTTCTCTACCCCCACAACCACGACTCCACAAACATACCCCAGCCTGCCTTTCTCATAAAAGTTAACCAGGCCTCTACTCTGGGACTGCCAGTCTCTACTTACCTAAAAAGTGTTTTACCTGTATTATTTATAAAATATCCCAGTGGTTCTCATAAGGTAGGTATTACTGAGAAACTTGATTCAGAAATAAAGTTAAATTTCAGAAATAAGTGCTCTAAAACACAATGACATTTAAATATGTTTAGCCGACATGAATTTATAAAATACAGGGCAGTTATATGTTCTTAAGCTGTAAACATGAACAAACTATAAGTTAATCCTTTCAAGTGTCTTTAGAATTGTCTTCTAAAGATTGACCGGGAATGTTCTGTAGATGATAAAATAGCAACGAATCAATGATGCTTTTCTTGTAGACATTTATCCTTCCTTTGGAAACCCACACCTGTGACATCTAGGGCCAACCTACTGCTGTTTGACTGCCCTATTCCTGTTCTCTTGTTTCCTTGCACCTCTACTTTTAATTAGCTATATGACCTTGGAAAAGACCCAACCTCTAAGTCTTAATTCTTCATCCTCAGTGATACTAATAAGTTCTTAACTCCTAGATATTGCTGCAAGGGTTAAATAAAATAATATTTGCAATAGTCCTACCACACAGTAAATGCTCATGAATATTAATTTCTTTCACCTTCTCTAAAATGTAAAATTATTCCAGTAATTGGATAGGCCAGTTATTAGGATAGTGGTAAAATAACAAGTCTTTGTCTCTTGGAGAAAATAATATTTTGACTGCACACACTATTCTTAATAGAAAGGTTGAATTATCATTCCTCTCAAAAATACTGGAGAGGAAAGTTACTTTCCATAGACTGCATAGAGGAAATTATCTTAACGAAACAGTGCATTTGTTATAGTGAACCACCCAATGTGTTGAAATTCGTATGTTGAATTCTAACCCCTGATGTGATGATATTTGGAGGTGGGACCTTTGTGAGGTAATTAACTCATAAGGGTAGAGCCTTCATGAGCAGGATTAGTGCCCTTGTAAGAGGCCAGAAAACTAGCTCGCTCTTTTTCTACCATGTAAGGACACAGGAGGACAGTATTTGCAAGCCAGGAAGCAGGCCCTCACCAAATACCGAATCTGTCTGCACTGTGATCTTGGACTTCTCAGGCACCAGAATTGTAAGGAATGTTTGTTGGTTGAGCCACCCAGCCTGTGGTAATTTGTTATAGCAGCTTGAACTAAGACTGGGTTTGAGTGAAGAATTGCAGAATTCAGCAACAGGCAGGTACAGGGGGAGTCTTACTGCCAAAGCACACAGCAGCAAATGGCCACCATGTTCATAAACAAAATCATTCATTCATTCACTCACTCATTAATTCAGGAATATGAGGGGAATCTATAGAGCCTTATCTTTCTCTTAAAATCATGTCATAAAAATGTCAAAGTTTCAATTTTTAAAAGGAAACCTCAGTACAGTGATAAAGTTACTAAAAATCCTATGTTAGGGTGATAGGTTGCCATGGTTTTTAGTAATGTTGCCACATTTCTCAAGAAAACATTATAATCCTAAAAATTTAATTTTACAACCAGTGCAAAACGTTATAAGCAGTCCTCCAAATTGAGTAACATAACTAACATTTGAAATAATAGTCTTCTGGATCAACTTCTGGCATGACTGCATAAAGAGCTCTGCTAACTCACTTCTCAGTGAAACTGATGAAAATTATAGAAAAACGACTCAGACTCTCTGGAGATGATCCTCAGGGCAAACAGCAAGAGAAGAAACATCTCTTCAAGAAAGAGGTATAAATATTTGGTAAGAAGGCAAGAGTCTGTAGTATTTTATCCAAGATTCCCCAGTCCCAGCTTAGGGAGACAGGCTCCATTCTAGACAGCTGCAGCCAAGAATACAGAACTCTCACTAGAAGGCAGGCTTTTTTTTCTTTCTTTGCAGTAAAACATGCATAATATTTATAATTTTAATCATACATAAGTGTATAATTCAGGAGCATTAAATACACTCACAATGTTGTATAACCATCACTGTTATCCTTACTCAAACTTTTTCATTATTCCCAATAAGAAATTTGTGCCCATTAAACAGAAACTCCTTCTTTTCCCCTTTCCCTAATTCCTGGTAACCTCTATTCTACTTTCTATTTCTATGAGTTTACCTAACTTAAGTGCCCCATATAAGTGGAATCATACAATATTTGTTCTGTTTCTGAATTATTCACTTAGCATGGTGTTTTCAGGGTTCATCTATGTTGTAGCATGGATCAGAATTTTACTCCTTTTTAAGACCTCAATAATATTTCATTTATGTATATACCACAGTTTGTTTATCCATTAGTAATCCTGTCTGATGGGCATTTGAGTTGTTTCCACGTTTTCACCTTTTGGCTATTGTGAATAATGCTGCTATGAACCTTGGTGTGTAAATACCTCTGTTCAAGTCCCTGCTTTCAATTCCTTTGGATAGGTACCTAGGAGTGGAATTGCTGGGACATATGGTAATGTTATTACAGCCAATGTCATGAGTTCTAGCTGATATATCTAACATAACCAAAATTTTCTTTACTTCTTTACACTCTGATTAGTCAATTGGAATTGATATTAAAAAAATTAATCTCAGCCCGGGCAACACAGTGAGACTTCATCCCTACCAAAATTTTAAAAACTAACCAGGTATGGTGGTGTGTACCTGTAGTCCTAGCTGCTTGGCAAGCTGAGGCAGCAGAAGTCTTGAACCAAGGAATTCCAGCCTGCAGTGAGCTGCGATCCCACCACTGCAGTCCAACCTGGGCAATAGAGCAAGACCCTGTATCTAAAAAACCCAGAAAGAAAAAGAAAAATTAGTGTTGATGGCTCTAGAGAAGCAAGAACCAAGAAATGTTGAGATTTCAAGACTATTTTTCTGCAGGTGACAGCCAGAAATGTGTTGTGTTTTTCAATTGTCAGATTTGGACAAGAAACAGTAAAGAGATCATTTGGCAAGAATCTGAAAATTACAAAAGGTTAATGTCTGAGAAAACAAAAAGAAAAGAAAAAAGGAAATAAAAGTAGTTTGATATGATGGGATTCTTGGGAGGAAAGAAAAGTTTAGGGAGTTAGGCCCAATTCAGTAGAAATTTAAATAGCAAAAGGAAGACCAAATTAAGCACAAACCAAAATAATATTTTTCTTTTTTCTTTTTCTTTTTCTTTTCTTTTCTTTTCTTTTTCTTTTTTTTTTTTTTTTTTTTTATTTTTTTTGAGACAGAGTCTTGCTCTGTTTCCCAGGCTGGAGGGCAATGGTGTGATCATGGCTCACTGCAACGTCAACCTCCTGGGCTCAAGCAATCCTCCTGCCTTAACCTCCCAAGTAGCTGGGATCACAGGTACATACCACCACATTACACCTTGCTAATGTTTTTAAAAATTGTTTTTATTTTTTGTAGAGATGAGGTCTTGCTATGTTACCTAGGCTGGTCTCAAAGTGGTTGCCTCAAGCAATCTACCCAACTTGGCCTCCCAAAGTGCTGAGATTACAAGTGTGAGCCACCATGCTGGGACAGGATAATTTTTCTTTAGGAAAGATTTAGTAAATATCTATGTAACCAATAATATAATAGACTTAAATTGATTAGAAAGCAATTCCTTGAGTTACAGCTGGCTAAGGAGAGTGTTTAATGGTGTTGTATAAAATTCTATACTCATATTTCAGGAAATCTGTTTTTCTTGTCTCTTCAGGTAGAAATTGACTCCTTGTACCAAAATAAATTTAAAATATCTTCTGTTCCCCAAAGTCAAGAATGTTGATCCTAATAGAACTGCCAGACAGCGTGTTCCAATTAGACCTAGAACCAACGCACCATTCAACCACAGACAGCTAAGGTATATTACAAAGAACATAAGTTTTCCACAGAAACCAGTTGAGAAAGACTCAGCATTCAATGGCTGTTTGTTGTACTTGACTGTATAAGTAGATTCCAAAATGTGTTAACACAAACTCTGAAGTAGGAAGCAAACATCCCAGGACTGAAACTTGAGGACAAAGAAAAATATTCTACACCAGCATAGAATTATTTCCGAAGTAAAAATTAATGCCAGTTTCTTTAGGAGGAGTATGTGGGGACTCATAACCAGTGTATAGGTGTTCTATGGTTAGTTGTATTTAGGTTTGTGAGGCAACTATACATACTTCACATTGAATATACTAGGTTTAGTCATTCTTAGCAAATTCTTTTGCCATTATTATAAAGCCCCTGTATAAATAAGGATTAACATATTCCTTCAGGTGGTTGGTCTGAAGTAGACTTTACCTGACCATTATAATTAAGATTCTGGCATCCAGAATTTTATATAAGATTGTCTTAATGAAACATGTAACACATTATATCTTCAAAAAGATTATTTAAAGAAACTTTTAGACTCCACTGACAGATATCTTTAAAAGATATTTAAATTTCAGGAATCAGAGTAGAAAACATACTTTTAAAAAAGCATTTTTTGCAATCAGGAGACAACAGATGCTGGAGAGGATGTGGAGAAATAGGAATGCCTTTATACTCTTGGTGGGAGTATAAATTAATTCAACCATTGTTGAAGTCAATGTGGTGATTCCTCAAGGATCTAGAAATAGAAATACCATTTGACCCAGCAATCCCATTACTGGGTATACACCCAAAGGATTATAAATCCTATGTATTTTACCATAAAGACACATGCACATGTATGTTTATTGAGGCACTGTTCACAATAACAAAGATGTGGAACCAACCTGAATGCCCATCAATGATAAACTGGATAAAGAAAATGTGGCACATATAGACCATGGAATACAATGCAGCCATAAAAAAGGATGCATTCATGTCCTTTGCAGGGACACGGATGAAACTGAAAACCATCATTCTCAGCAAACTGATACAAGAACAGAAAATCAAACACTGCATGTTCTCACTCATAAGTGGGTTTTGAACAATGAAAACACAGACACAGGGAGGGGAAC